TAAATACGTTGCATTGCCCATCATGATATTTAAAACCTCCTCTATATCATGTTTACTGTCTATGGCTCGTTTTGCTTTTAAAGCAGCGATCGAATTCGCGAACATTTTTTAAATTTTGTGCAACACATCAAAGCCCTTCAGCTGCACACTACAACGATGACTGTGCAACAATTAAAGGGAGTGCAGTGTTGTCAATACCGTCAGCCTGGCAACTATATCAATATTTGACTAATGTATTCTTCTAATTTGAAAACAGCTTTACGGAAGTTCAACTTGTGACTCCCGACAGTGAGATGCAGTAACGAGAGACGCCGTGACACTGTCACTGCCAGGCAGCACTCTCTCGCACCTAATTAACAGTAAATTGATGTCGGGTTGTGTGAAATGATCAAGTATTCACTATCCGTAAACATCGTGTATGTTTCATTCAAAAGTCCACAATCTGATCGGTAATCGATACACACTGTTCCGGGGCACGTGTACAATCGTCATCCTCACATCACTGACCACCTTCCCAGTCTAGTGACAGACTCACAACAGACACCCCGACACCGTCATCCTCACATCACTGACCACCTTCCCAGTCTAGTAGACAGACTCACAACAGACACCCCGACACCGTCATCCTCACATCACTGACCACCTTCCCAGTCTAGTGACAGACTCACAACTGACACACAACAGACACCCCGACACCGTCATCCTCACATCACTGACCACCTTCCCAGTCTAGTAGACAGACTCACAACAGACACCCCGACACCGTCATCCTCACATCACTGACCACCTTCCCAGTCTAGTAGACAGACTCACAACAGACACCCCGACACCGTCATCCTCACATCACTGACCACCTTCCCAGTCTAGTGACAGACTCACAACTGACACACAACAGACACCCCGACACCGTCATCCTCACATCACTGACCACCTTCCCAGTCTAGTAGACAGACACACAACAGAAACCCCGACACCGTCATCCTCACATCACTGACCACCTTCCCAGTCTAGTAGACAGACTCACAACAGACACCCCGACACCATCATCCTCACATCACTGACCACCTTCCCAGTCTAGTAGACAGACTCACAACTGACACACAACAGACACCCCGACACCGTCATCCTCACATCACTGACCACCTCCCCAGTCTAGTAGACAGACTCACAACAGACACCCCGACACCGTCATCCTCACATCACTGACCACCTCCCCAGTCTAGTAGACAGACTCACAACAGACACCCCGGCACCGTCATCCTCACATCACTGACCACCTCCCCAGTCCAGTAAACAGACTCACAACAGACACCCCGACACCGTCATCCTCACATCACTGACCACCTTCCCAGTCTAGTAGACAGACACACAACAGACACCCCGACACCGTCATCCTCACATCACTGACCACCTTCCCAGTCTAGTAGACAGACTCACAACTGACACACAACAGACACCCCGACACCGTCATCCTCACATCACTGACCACCTTCCCAGTCTAGTAGACAGACTCACAACAGACACACAACAGACACCCCGACACCGTCATCCTCACATCACTGACCACCTTCCCAGTCTAGTAGACAGACACACAACAGACACCCCGACACCGTCATCCTCACATCACTGACCACCTTCCCAGTCTAGTAGACAGACTCACAACAGACACCCCGACACCGTCATCCTCACATCACTGACCACCTTCCCAGTCTAGTAGACAGACTCACAACAAACACTCCGACACACAACAGACACCCCGACACGTCATCCTTACATCACTGACCACCTTCCCAGTCTAGTAGACAGACATACAACAGACACCCCGACACCGTCATCCTCACATCACTGACCACCTTCCCAGTCTAGTAGACAGACTCACAACAGACACCCCGACACCGTCAGCCTCACATCACTGACCACCTTCCCAGTCTAGTAGACAGACTCACAACAGACACCCCGACACCGTCATCCTCACATCACTGACCACCTTCCCAGTCTAGTAGACAGACTCACAACAGACACCCCGACACCGTCATCCTCACATCACTGACCACCTTCCCAGTCTAGTAGACAGACTCACAACAAACACTCCGACACACAACAGACACCCCGACACGTCATCCTTACATCACTGACCACCTTCCCAGTCTAGTAGACAGACATACAACAGACACCCCGACACCGTCATCCTCACATCACTGACCACCTTCCCAGTCTAGTAAACAGACTCACAACAGACACCCCGACACCGTCAGCCTCACATCACTGACCACCTTCCCAGTCTAGTAGACAGACTCACAACAGACACCCCGACACCGTCATCCTCACATCACTGACCACCTTCCCAGTGTAGTAGACAGACTCACAACAGACACCCCGACACCGTCATCCTCACATCACTGACCACCTTCCCAGTCTAGTAGACAGACTCACAACAGACACCCCGACACCGTCATCCTCACATCACTGACCACCTTCCCAGTCTAGTAGACAGACTCACAACAGACACCCCGACACCGTCATCCTCACATCACTGACCACCTTCCCAGTCTAGTAGACAGACTCACAACAGACACCCCGACACCGTCATCCTCACATCACTGACCACCTTCCCAGTCTAGTAGACAGACTCACAACAGACACCCCGACACCGTCATCCTCACATCACTGACCACCTTCCCAGTCTAGTAGACAGACTCACAACAGACACCCCGACACCGTCATCCTTACATCACTGACCACCTTCCCAGTCTAGTAGACAGACATACAACAGACACCCCGACACCGTCATCCTTACATCACTGACCACCTTCCCAGTCTAGTAGACAGACCCACAACAAACACTCCGACACACAACAGACACCCCGACACGTCATCCTCACATCACTGACCACCTTCCCAGTCTAGTAGACAGACATACAACAGACACCCCGACACCGTCATCCTCACATCACTGACCACCTTCCCAGTCTAGTAGACAGACTCACAACAGACACCCCGACACCGTCATCCTCACATTACTGACCACCTTCCCAGTCTAGTAGACAGACTCACAACAGACACACAACAGACACCCCGACACCGTCATCCTCACATCACTGACCACCTTCCCAGTCTAGTAGACAGACTCACAACTGACACACAACAGACACCCCGACACCGTCATCCTCACATCACTGACCACCTCCCCAGTCTAGTAGACAGACTCACAACAGACACCCCGACACCGTCATCCTCACATCACTGACCACCTTCCCAGTCTAGTAGACAGACTCACAACTGACACACAACAGACACCCCGACACCATCATCCTCACATCACTGACCACCTTCCCAGTCTAGTAGACAGACTCACAACTGACACACAACAGACACCCCGACACCGTCATCCTCACATCACTGACCACCTTCCCAGTCTAGTAGACAGACTCACAACTGACACACAACAGACACCCCGACACCGTCATCCTCACATCACTGACCACCTTCCCAGTCTAGTAGACAGACTCACAACTGACACACAACAGACACCCCGACACCGTCACCCTTACATCACTGACCACCTTCCCAGTCTAGTAGACAGACTCACAACAGACACCCCGACACCGTCATCCTCACATCACTGACCACCTTCCCAGTCTAGTAGACAGACTCACAACTGACACACAACAGACACCCCGACACCGTCATCCTTACATCACTGACCACCTTCCCAGTCTAGTAGACAGACACACAACAGAAACCCCGACACCGTCATCCTCACATCACTGACCACCTTCCCAGTCTAGTAGACAGACTCACAACAGACACCCCGACACCGTCATCCTCACATAACTGACCACCTTCCCAGTCTAGTAAACAGACTCACAACAGACACCCCGACACCGTCAGCCTCACATCACTGACCACCTTCCCAGTCTAATAGACAGACTCACAACAGACACCCCGACACCGTCATCCTCACATCACTGACCACCTTCCCAGTCTAGTAGACAGACTCACAACTGACACACAACAGACACCCCGACACCGTCATCCTCACATCACTGACCACCTTCCCAGTCTAGTAGACAGACTCACAACTGACACACAACAGACACCCCGACACCGTCATCCTCACATCACTGACCACCTTCCCAGTCTAGTAGACAGACTCACAACTGACACACAACAGACACCCCGACACCGTCATCCTCACATCACTGACCACCTTCCCAGTCTAGTAGACAGACTCACAACAGACACCCCGACACCGTCATCCTCACATCACTGACCACCTTCCCAGTCTAGTAAACAGACTCACAACAGACACCCCGACACCGTCAGCCTCACACCAGTGTCAGTGTATATGTAATACTTTAACAAGTTTGAAGTCCAAGTGTTTTTATTGACTGAATTCGTGCCTGTATTATATGACACACGACCAAGCCGTCGACATCATACTTACAGTGAAACACCATTAACCAACTGCGTTAAGCTATCCATATTTCCAGATAAGCTGAATGTCGATATTGGGAACCTATAATACTGATACGTCACATCGTCCAATCTCATTAACATCTGATCGAAGTTCTCGCTGTCGCTAAATAAGTGCTGATGACATCCCATTACGGGGCACGTAAGAACGACCACTGAAATGACTAACAAGAAGTCGACATCAGCCAATATGAAAGCACCTTTCTCGAGCTTTACGGCACTCGTTTCAACCTGGCGACTTCCATTTCAGACTACGCTTGAAAAATATGTTCACACAGTTCTCGATTAAAATTTTGAAAACTGAACAAACGAACATTCCGGAATGTCTTATAAATGGTTGAGATTGTATGGCAGTGCTTTCCACGTACTGTGCAACGCCTCCTCCATTCAAATGTTTATCCCACGCAAGCGAGAGATAGACGATAATTTTGACGGAATCAGTCGTACGGGCCGTAACTGTCGTTCGGAATACCCCTTGTTAACGTTTTCGATGTTGCATGATCAGAAAACACATTCCGACTGTCACGATCTGGTAAGCGACGCTCTGATTGGTCGGATAAAAGGTCGTTCTGACGTGACCCGTAATGGGATGTCCTCAGATCTTTGTTTAGCGACAGCGAGAACTAAGATTTGATTTTAATGAGATCACACTCTAATGTCTAAACGACATATCGAGTTAATGAGATTCCATTTTATGTGGTATAGGTCTTACTGCGTGTGTTCGTGTTCGAGGTACGGTGTGTTGTTGGTGTTTTCCGTCAACTGACTGAAATTTCAACATTTATGTGAACAGAACATCATAACCATGCAAGCAGTGACACTCGCGTATTGCACATATATAATTTATATTGCCATGTCTGAACGTTATTGTCAACCAAATCGACCTGTTTTCAGAAAATAGGAATTCACATGTGCAATGGTTAAATACGTGTTAATATCATTTGGCAATAACCTCTTCGACGAGTCACCAGGAAAGGGCTCGAGGACGGAATAGAACCCGGGCACTTGAGCTTGTAACCACTCCACAAATAGTCTCTTGTTAACTGATTTGGCCAACCTCCGAAAAGCATTGACAGTGTGTGGCACAGTCGAAATGAGCCTCGTTCTGGAGAAATCAAACAGGGCACACACGAATCACACGACGACTATACAGAGGTCATCCATGCTGATTTAACATAAATCACACAAAGTGAGTGAGTATTGTTTTACGCCGCTTTTAGCAATGTTCCAACAATATCATGACGGAGGACACCAGAAATGTTCTTCACACAATGTACTGGTGTGGGGAATCGAACCCGGGTCGTCGGCGTGAGAAGCGAACGCTTTGACCACTAGGCTACCCAGCCGCCCATAAATCACACAGATTTAGTGTTAACCCAGATAGTAAACAGGGTTATTCAAGGTTAATCGCCGAGATATCACACGGACTCTATTCATCCTCCATACTGGATTTGGCAATTGACCTCACGGCCTAGCGTCCTGCACGTTAGAGCGAGGACTGTGTTCTCGCTCAAGGTCAGATTCCTCTTGCATTGACCTCGACCTTGGTCGTTTCGTGAAATAGAGAACTTTCCTGAGTGTACTCATGATGTGTGTAGTTTGTGTGTAAGTGATGTCATGTTTTGTGTAATCCACTTTGCCCACACCTTCATTAACCATCCCCAAGCACGTGACAAAGTCCATCGTGTCACAATGTCTGTCCATGACTTCCACGAGGTTATTGAGGTACCAGGAGCCGGTGGTCTTGCAGTGTGAGGTATGGTACCCTGGTGGAGTGCCACGTGCATACAAGATGTCTGCGTCCTCGGGCACAACAGTCCTCCGGGTCTCGAGAAGCGAGTGAGGCACTGCCTCTCTGATCACCAGGCCTGGCTGTCGTCGAAGTCCGGAACCATAGGGTATCAAAAACACCTTCGGCTTCCCTGCAAGGGTCCTACAACTGAGAGCGCGAAATGGCTGGACAAGATATCCGATATGGACGGACTCCATGCTGATGTCACATACATGGTCTTTGTCTGTCCCGCCGAGAAGAATGGCGCACACAAACGCGTCATGGGACGTGTGGTCTCTACTGGCGATCTCCTCGAGTCTAAAGAGCATATGTCGCTTCGTCAAATTCGTGATCCTTTCAACAGTGAATCCCAGTCTTGTAAAAAGGTCGTCCACCTTTTGGGTATCAGCGGCGTGGGTATCGGTGTTGTTGATGATGGCGCAAATGCCACGGGTGGATGACTTCATTTGGTACGCTGTTAACAGAGGAATAGCACACTAGTCATGATTAACATTATTTTCAATTTGAATAAAGACTTGGCCACATAAACACTTCGTCCAACACCAAACACATACTACTTTCCCCTGGGTTTCACAAAGCATGGTGATCATCTTAGATCTGTATCTGAAATCAGTTGCCTTCAATTGTTTATAGGACCGCCTCCGTGGTCTAATGGTAGAGCGTCCGCCCGAAGAGAGGAAGGTCCGGGGTTCGACCCCCAGTCGCGTCATACCAAAAGACGTTAAAAGATGGTACTTGTTGTTACCCTGTCTGGCGCTCAGCATTAAGGGGCTAAAACAAGGACTGGTCGGCTCGGAGTCAGTATACTGTGTCTGAGTGGGGTATTCATGTTAAACTGCGGCATGGTATCTCAGTGTGCTAGCACTTTAAATCGGCATCAGTCCGGACTAGTACAAGCAGCCACACACACACACACGTGCATGCACGTCGCTATATAAGTGCAATAATCTTGGACGCGACGTTAAACGCCATTTCACCTCACCTCAATTGCTTATTGCCACTTCGAACAGCCGCGCCTAACTGCGGATGTTTTTATAGGCAGGTTGGTTACATGTGAGGAGCTTAGCTCAAGGATTAACAGTTCGTTATACACTTAAACATTATGGTTGACAAAAGTACACACGGGATCACAAGGTGAGTTCCTTATATCCGTTATTTTGTTGTAAGTGTGTTCGTTATATCCATCAACTTTATATGATCGAATACATAGCAAATGGCAGGGACCAAAATACTAGTTTGTATGCTTATACAGAAACCTTTGATGCAGATTGGTTGATTGGAGCGTTCACTTGACCTGACCTCCCTTGGGGTTTTCAGATCTTCGCGCAGTGAGGTATCGTACCTGATAAAGTATATGTACTTTTTATGAGTTTGGTTATAGTATTGACTGAAGCATAAAGCAACTTTCCTTCACTCACTTACCAGGGATACTTGGCGTAAGAGTTGTCTCCCCACTAAACACGCTAATGGTGTCGTTGTAACCAGGAGAGCTGTTGGTAGAAACTGCATAAAGGCTGCACGTGCACCAGTGTATCTGCACAGCTCCACTAAGTGCCTTCAGCTCTTCATATAACTCGCTATAATTATTCTGTAAAGTGTCAATGATCAAAGTGGCGTCCTGGATTAAATCCAAAATTCGTTTCCATTTTTTAATTGTAGGCAAGGAAGGGTTAACAAAATCCCTCAAACAATTTTCCATAATAAGGCTCTTACTATACAAGGCTTCTGCAACGCCTCTGGGGTCAACCGTTCCAGTGAGCCTGCAATACGGGCACTGTTTGACAGCAGGGGATTGGATCTGTCTGAGAGCCTCGCAAAACGCATCAGCTAAGTGGGCATGTTCCGCACGTAACGCTGGAATAAACACATCGACGATCTTGTCAGAGGATAGTTGTGTAGAGATGAGTCTCAGCAGCTGCTGATTTTTACGCCTGTCCGTTGGTTTGGTGCTGATGCTGTCAACGTCGTTGTCGTCGAGGCAGTTGTCCTGTATCAGCTGATTGAGTAGCGTGGTTCCATTGAGACAGAGGCCCTCCACCAGACGGGGGTAACTCTGTCTTAGTGCCTGCTTCACAGCATTACCGTCTGCTGGAAAGGACATAGTGTGAGTGAGTATTATTTAACGCCGCTTTTACGCTATTCCAGCAAAATCATGGCGGGGGACATCCTATACAGACTTCACACATTGTACCCATGTGGGAAATCGAACCCGGGTCTTCGGAATGATGTGCGAACGCTTTCCTAGGCTAACCCACCGCCCCACGTATATTGTAAGTGAAGTATTCTCTACTGTTTTGGGATGTTATTAACCATATTAACCACTGGAATCATTCACAATTTGAGTTTTCATATTTGCTACGACTACTATCTATCCTTAGACAAGCCTCCCTTTAAAGGGGAAGTGTACACGCAAAAATCACTTTCTTTCTTTTTCTAAACAAAACGCAATTTTAGAAATTAATTAGTATCTGTGTTTGAAAATATACACTCATTTTTTTCACAGTGAACGTAGGAAGCTCACAATAGTGTGAAAATGATATGCCGTTATGAGGCCTTCGTTTTTCGAGCTAAACAGGCCTGAGTTATCCCCCTTAGATTATGACGTAATTGGTGCCAATTCAACTGGGTCCCTGTCTATTCTCAACGCAAAAGATATCAAGTACCAGTTTGCGGTAAAACAACATGGCCTACGACACACTCCGGCGCAGTGGTGACTCAGCATAACACTATGCTGGCTGGCATCTGAGACGCTAGAATCACACACCTGGACCTACACCACGTGAAGCGGCTCTAACAAAGCATGATGACGTCATAATGTTTATCAATTGGCACCAATGACGTCATATTGCACGGGGCATAAGCCATGGTGTTTTTGTTGTGGAAATAGAACACTTGGTAAATGTGAAAAATATAAATAGTTTTAATGCGAAAAATATGTTAATTAATTGTGATATTTTTATATTTTTGTCTATGACACTTCTATGTTAACACTTTTAATGTGGAAAAAGTACAAGAAAAATAGGTTCATTTCCGTGTGAACTTGCCCTTTAACAAAAATATCATTTCACCATTACAAGTAAAATAAAGTACTTTAATTCAGTGTTCGTCGATTATCAGTTAAAATGACCTACGTTGGTTTATACATAAGAACATATAGATATAGATGTCATACAGAACCTGAAACAAATATATCAAAAAAATATAATAGTGGGCAAGTCTAGATTTGAAAATGAAGAGTCTCTGGACTCCTTTTTTATTATATTTTTGTATTATTTTTTTTTCTGTGAGATAAGTACATTTCAGATACTAGACGTTAGTTGTTAATATGTGTACATGAACAAAAATATCAGTTCGTGTTTTTAATGTGAAAAAGACAAATCATAGTGTTCCTAAAACGGGTACAAACGGCAAGGAACTGTTTATGTGTCTATATGTAATGAAGATAATTATTAATATGATAAAATATACATAGTATTTATACAATTTTAGATAGGCATAAATGCTGATAGGCCAATCGACCAAGCCCTCGAAAATTTGATAAATGAGATTGAGCTTACTAACCTGAGTCGTTACTTTTTAAACTTCCGTTTAAAAGGGAAGTCTGCCTCGACGTTGTACGCTCCCTAAACTTGTGCTTCAAGTAATCTTCCATATCTCGGAGTCTGTGTTTGAAAGATTCAAAGGGAGATAATCCAAGATCGCCAGTTTCCATGTCGACGTCATCAGTCTGCCCACACTGCTTGACTCGGTCTTCAAAATCAACTAATCCGGACAATACTATGACTCTTAGCTCGTCGATGTTATCCGCGCTTCCCAGGACAGGGGTCACAAGTGTTTCAATTATGGCCATAGAATACACCTTCCGCAATTCCTCCAGCATAGTCATGGCTGTAACATCAAAATGTCACCCTTGAACAAATATTGACCCAAATGCTAAGTAACATGGTGAACGTGAAAGGCACGATTGAGAGGACAGTGCCAAGGATACGTCAGATCTCGGTGTGCGTGGGGGCGGCATTTGCATGAACAGCGTCAAGTGAGCGAGTGAGTTGGGTTTAACGCCGCTTTTAACAGTATTCCAGTTATATCGCGGCGTGTCAGCTTAATGTTGGAGGAAAGCCCGAAGTGATGCAGGTCTCAGACGTTAACCACTTCGGTGGAACACACGAGCACGGGTATGGTGCTGACAAACCTAGAAACGTAATCGGGGCGAACCGGGATTCGGACCAACAATCACAGGTTTCTGGCGTGCCCAAGAGACGCAACTCTGCACAGCGAACCGCAGCGCCTTAGACGACTGGGCCACCCGTGCCCCCGTACAGCGTCAAGACGTCACTTTATGACGTAACTTTATCGCAGTACTGTCGGCACCTTTGATCTTTTAGTGAATGCGAAATGCTAATTCAAGGTAACATGGCTAAACATAATTGTTATTAATGTCAATACATCTACCGACAAAACAGGTGTCGTCCTATTTAGGAGCAGGTTTTGTAGCCTAGTGGGTAAAGCGTTCGCTCGTCACGCCGAAGACCCGGGTTCTTTTCCCCCGATGGGTACAACGTCCATTTCTGGTGTCCCCCGCCGTGATATTGCTGGAATATTGCAAAAAGCGGCGTAAAACCATACTCACTCACTTACTCCTACTGATTTGAAAGAGGTTTTTAGTGAATGTATTGATGTTGCTAATGAGATCAGATTATTTGGTCTATACCCTAATTCGATTCACGAGAAGAATTGGTCCCCAATAATTTGTGCGAGTCGACTAAAACTTATCACTGGAATTTTGAAGCTCTGATTTGAATAATGAAGTTTTTAAGTCCTTTTACTATGAAACATGCATCTCTGTATATGTGTATGTGTGTGGTGAGGGGGGCATTGGAGGCTAAAAAAAGACAGGCAAAATTTATTATTATGACATTTAAGTTAAACAACAGATCCCTGTGAATGTATCACGTGATCAGGCTTACTTGCTCGTGATTTTCAGTGCAACCTCCAGTCCGCCATTATGTCGGAATATTGCTGACGCGTTCAGCGAAAACATTCACTCACTCAAATTGGCTGTGCAGAGTTGCGTCCCTTACTTGCTGGAGTTCAGAAACTAAACATGTCCGACTGGGATGGCATCTCAGTGGGCTAGCACTACAAAACCAGCATCCGTCCGGACGATAGTCTGTCTTACAGACCCTGATACAAATATATATCAAATACAGCCCATGCAAGTCTATAATGTTTGGCAAGTCTAGATCACTGCAGTATCAATATCTGAAAATGAAGAGAGTCACTGGGCTCCTTTTTATTATATTTTTATTAAGATAACTGAACAACTGTTTTTTTTATGTACGATATGTTCATTTCAGAGATTAGATTTTAGTCTATCCGGACGAGTACAAGCAGCTACACAAACACGCACGCACATCGTAATATAAGTGAACGCGACGTTGAACCCCAATTCACTCCACCTCTGCTTCACCTCTACATTGACTTTCCCAACATTTCAGTGACCGAGGGTCGCGCTGCTGCAGTCCATTAAATCCAATCACAGCACTGCCCAGAAATATTTGTTGGGGGTTGAATAGGTCACTATAGCTCTCTAAATCATTATATTGTGTTGTAGTTTTTCGCGGAGCGTTGTTTCCGTTCGTCCTAACTATTACATTTGGGAAATTACAATATTTATTGAACGTCACATAAATGATTCTCGTTATGGCGTCGCTTAAGGCTACTAGCATATCATATTTAAAACTTAACATATTTCCTTGATAAAACGCCCGTTCTCGATTAAATGCGGGGGTCTCAATTGAACGCCGGGTAATATTTTATGCACAATATTCTAAATGCCACTGAAAGAAGTCACAGAATACTCCCCATTATTATCTTTGTGGGGTCAGTGTATGACAGAAATATACGCCTGAGCGTTTAATCGACGAAATACGGTAACAGCCATCGCAGTTATTGGTTTACATTCATTGATGAACAGTGTGGTAGTTGTTGCTCTTTATTGTTTAACGCCGCACTCAGCAATATTCCCGCTATAAAGATATAAGATAAGATAAGATAAGATAATATTTATTGCAGAAACGTTCCATTACGGGACAGATGCAATTTTAAAAGACAAGACATTATGATTCATATATACATATATACAGACATACATAATTTACATTCCTGTAGACACATACAAAAACAAAATAATCGATATTACATATTTGATGATATTTTTATACATAAAATGTCAACGGTTGATTATGAAGGGGTATTTATTGTTTGAAATTATAGATATGGAAACAAATGCAGTTGATATTGACTGCTTCATTAGTTGACAGGATGTAGTGAAATAATTTATCTTCATGACTGTGGACATTTACATTTACATTTTGGCTGGATATTTTTTCAAAGAGTATATTTCTTTCTTGAGTGTGTTTAATACAGTGAAGTAAGTAGTGTTTTTCGTCATCAATGGTTGAACATGTAGAGCATAGCCTCTGATGTAGTGGGGTTGGTGGCTTTGTATGTCTTCCAAGTTCAATATTTAATTTATGGTTACTTAATCTTTGTTTAGAAATGTGAACTCGATATTTTTTTACTTTACAGTGACTGAGATAGGGTTCTAATTTTATTTCATTTTTAACTATCCTGTATGTCCTAAGTTTGTTTTCTGTGCCTCTTTTTGCATTTTCATCCTGAAGAGATTCCTTGAAGAGGGAGTTGAATTTAGATTTGATTGTCTCTTTGAATATTGGTGATAGGAAAGCTGAAGTACTCAAATTGTGTTTTCCTAAGAATGGATTGAGCTGGTACTTTCTGTAAAAGCGTTCTGAAGTATTATGTTTTTGGAAGAACATACATGGTGATAAAAATTTGCTTTTTTGATTAATACTGTGTAGATATGACGGCGGTCTGTAAATAATTGAGTCTGGAAACCTTGTCCCCATTGCACACACTATGCGCTAAGTTTTAAAACACGGGGCAAGGACCATATGAACTCTGTTTACAAATAATTCACTGGACCAATTTTCAAACTCAGCCTTGACAAAAATCTCTTAGATAAGCATGCAAACTTTTATTCTTGTAGCTTCAGTAGTTTCTGAGAAAACGTGTCCCATTTGCACACACTATGTACAAAGTTGGAAAACACGGGGCAAGGGCCATAACTCTTGTTTCTGAGAAAACTTGTCCCCATTTCAGGAAGTATGCACTAATTTGAAAATCGCGGAGCAAGGGCCATAACTCAGTAAAAATTTAATCGACGGGACCAATTTTCGAACAATGTCTTGAGAAGTATCTCTGAGATATGCATGCAAAAGTTTCATTCATGTAACGTCAATAGTTTCTGAGAAAACTTGTCCCCATTTCACGTAGTATGCACTAAGGTGAAAATCACCAAGCCATAACTCTAATACAAATTGAATTTACATCAATGTTCGAACTCATTTGAGATCATGACCAGTAACACCCGTGTACAACATTTCATTTCTCTGATTTAAATTGTTTTTTAGAAAATTTGTCCCCTTTGAGAACCGGAGGGACGGACGGACCGTCGAACTCATGGGATACTAATAAGAGCGTATTCAAAGCTTCACGTTTGACATGTAACAAGAGCCTTAGGATGTGATTAAACCAGCCAGGATGTACCTACGCCTGAGGTCCACAGGCAGATATGTGAAAATACCATATATGCTGCAGGGATGAACACCTGAGGTCATCAGTGAAGATCCGGGTTGAATTGATCTTCAGCAACTCATGCTTGTCGCAAGAGGCGACTAACGGGATCGAGTGGTCTGGATCGCTGACTTGGTTGATGTATATACGAGTAGCTATGTAAATAAATATTTCATGGATGCTCACCTGGCGTTAAGTAGCAAGATACCCGGACAAGAAAGGAGCCCCCGGCACTACAGGTGGACAATACGTGCTATTGCGTATACATGAAGCCCTCAGTATAATATTCATACAGCATAGTCCATAACAGGTGATATACAGAACTTGTGTGTTATAGATATGCAGTGTCTGCGTGAATGCCGCCTTCCTACGATGATCTGTATAGCCCTTATTGTTTAGAATATTTGTACCGTGAAAGGAGAACACTGGAATGTATACCAGACAAAAGACTAACGCTTAGACTCTGAAAATATATAGTTTAGGTAGAAATAAACAGCTAAATTTAAATTTAAATGAAGCCCCAGTGAGAAGGAAGATTGAGAACCCGTGGAAAATGTAGACTTGATTCATTTAGACCGGATAGGAAAATAATATGACTGTGAGACAGCCTAACCGGAGAGAGAGAGAGAGAGAGAGAGAGAGAGAGAGAGAGAGAGAGAGAGAGAGAGAGAGGGGGAGAGAGCGGGGGAGAGAGAGAGAGAGCATATGCCCCGCGTCATCGTGAAGCCATTGTGTATTTTCCGGAAGTATAAACACGAGTATATACAATATCCTGTTTTGTGGCTTTGATCAGTGCGTCGTCACCGCGGAAACTTTCTAACCTGTTTTATATCTACATGTTGTAATATCCGTGCTCGCCTTTGGCTGTTCAGGACATCGTTATGAAATACGTTGACCATTTCATACGTTCATTACATTCGAGTGCCCGTCAGAAACACGATTCGTGTTTGCCATGCTTCTGTAGCTACGCTACATTCATGTCGTGACTGGGAACGAATGGAAGGCGAGATCGGGACGGAAAGTTTCTCAACTTGACCAATGTACACGACGTCCCATAACACAATGTTACTATTAAAAGGCGTGATGCAAATTCATTAGCTCACCTGTGCGAAGAAGACACGTGGAAATCCCACGAGGAACACACTTCAAGCAGGTCGTCGTTAGAGAGGTGTGTGCTTTCGGTGTATATGTATACACCAGTATTCTCGTCATGCATTCGTGACCAACTCGGCTCCTTCCGGGACGAGCCTTTTTCAAGGTTACGGAAAGATACGAGTGGGTAGCTGAGCTTTGTTTCCTCGTTTGACCGCGCACGTCATCATCGCGAGTTTCCTTTCATTCAGCCGATGGTCGCTATCACATAGATGAATAATGTCTTATTCCAGAGAATTTTAGATGAGAGTTGGTATGATAAGAAAGACGTTTATGAGCATATATACCCGACACATCCCACGTCTCCATATAACAGTAATAAATGAATGAATGTGTGTAAGCGTTGTTCTACTTCTAGAATGTTTATAAGTTTTTATAAATAGTGTTTGTTATGTACGGATTCAGATGTGATACACGCGAATCATTGTAAATAGAATGTGTCTATTCTGTGTTCAATATATTAAATGTTAATAGTGTGTTCAGTCTTTGTATCATTCATTCATGTCGATGAATATTTGGTTAGTTCCCGTCCCGTCTGCTGCAGGGAACATTTCCTGCCACTGAATATAGAGATGATATTTCCCATCTTGTTGGTGGACCAGTGTCAAATATGTCTGTAAAGGCTAAGCTGATATGAAAAATATATGAATTTTGTGATGTACATATCGATTAGCTGGCTACTGTATTTGTGAATAAAATATGAATTCCGAATGATATGAATGTCAGTTTACAATAAAATATAAGATAATTGCACGAATTTATAATGAAACATAAATACATCACTGGAATTGTGCGACGTGAATAAATATTATCACTCGATATTCACTTTAATGTTTTGGCTGGCTAAAGACTATAGGCTATAAACCGAAACAGACTGTAACCCAACCCCCGGTCGTACAGGGAAGTATCACGGCTGAGTGATTTCTATGTCGGAACAATAGCGACTGGAAAAGTGGGTTTCCCCAAAACATATTTGGTGTTGTCAGAGTATTGTATATGTGTATACAGAATGTGTAAGTGTAATGTATTTATATTTTGCATATAATCAATACCAAAGTCAAGGAGTTGTGAGCCGTATATTCATTGCCGTATATGTTATAGTATACAAGCATTTAGCGCGCATAGATTATACAGTGTCTGCAGTGTCTAGTATATGGGTGGGTGGGTTAACTATACCGAGACATTCACTATACCAGTACAGGTATATACAGACAGACAACAGTTTATTAGTGTCTCACTTCTGTACGTACATAAAACAACAATGGACAGAGCTCCAGATAAGCTGCGTATCTGCGTAAAATACGCATCGGAAATGCAGAAATACGCAGTAAAATAAAATCCAAGCGTATCACATACGCAACGAACATTACAGATAATCCAGTGTTCGAAATACCTGCCTGCCCGACCGTCCGAGACGGGTTGATTTCAACTCGGGCTGCCAGATTTTCAAATCCCACTGCCCGACGGTCGGGTTATATTTCATATGTGAAAATATTCTAAATATTTCCCGATGATAAGCATTAATTCACATGTAAAGATGAATGATAAAATGTTACCAAAAAGAAACCCTGTTAGCTTATCCTGAGAAACATATGATTATAGTGGGCAAGCAGGTTTTGGTCAGGGCTGGCAAGTTTTTCAGCTAGCCAGTCCTGTGGTCTGGCTGAAATTTTTGGGAGTTTCATACCCTGGATAATCTACAAAAATAAAACTTGTGGGTATCATCAAAATATTGTGAAGTAACCCTGCGTATTCAAATGGCAAATCAGCAACTTATTTTGAAATTATAAACGGGCATTCCGTCAACCTTGCCAAACTCCACGATGACAGTTACATCACGATCATTTGCCATCACACTTTCTTGTGGAAGTATCGTGGTATTTTTGAGTCCTATAAAGCTCTCGAACCCACACGACACCAGTTTGCAGGGACTAGATGAATAGTGTTTTTTAATATTTAACTTAAATACCCACATGTGTAAAAACTAGTGGGTAACAGAAATTTGAATACCCAGATAGAATTACTGATACCCAATGATTTTAAAATGCATGGGTAAAATACCCAAAACACCAAAAGCTTATTCAATAGAATTATGAGAGACAAATTATCATAAAATTCATATACACATATGCTGTAAAGATGATATAGTAAAATCCATATAAAAAACGCTTTCTACGATTAGGAATTAAAAAGCAGGTTTTGGCAAGTATAAAACACACACTGGCATCGCTGAATATAAAACAAAGTTTGTCTATATCCCATTAGTCTGTCTTACAGACCCTGATACATTTATACCAACTACAGCCCATGCAAGTCTGTAATGTTTGGCAAGTCTAGATTACTGCAGTATCAGGAAGAGAATCACTGGGCTCCCTTTTTATTAGATTTTTATTAAGATAACTGAACAACTGTTTTTATCTGTACGATATGTTCATTTCAGAGACTATATGTTAGTCTAATATCCCATTTATCTATACAAATCTGAAATTTTGTAATGAATTCATTAAAAACAGTTGATCTGATATCGTCATATAATACGCAGTGAAACAAAACGTGGACCTCGTCTTCTACGCTGCCATTACAGTGAAAACGTTTTCTCTTGTGGCCAGGTACATCTTCACACCGACCGGTTTCCACTTGAATAGGAGCCACGCCACACCTAAACTTGGCTAGTGCCGATCTATAGTTTCTGGGCATCTTATTTAAAACATTGTCTTCTGTCCCAAATACTTGCTTGTAACATCGGTATACACCAGGGTAAAATAATCCCCACCCCCTTGTTTTTATATTTCCCGAGCTTGACTGTAACATCTAGAAACATGTACGTTATATTAACATGAAAAGATTTCACTGCATAATTACGCAAAGTGTTGTTTTTCTATTGGGATTTTGAAAATTTTCATGCGTATGTTTCCGCAAGAAATCAAAACTAATTGGATTATGGTGAGTTAGTTTGTGTATTTTACGCAAATTCGAAGGTTATCATAATATTCCAGCTATATGACGGCGGTCTGTAAATAATCAAGTCTGGAACAGACAATCCAGTGATTAATATCATGAGCATCGATCCACGCATTTGGGATCGATGACATGAATCAACCAAGTCATCGAGCCTGACCACCCGATCTTGTTAGTTGCCTCTTACGACAAGCATAGTAAAGGAATACTGTTATGTTTGATGGACACGTGTACTATAGTTCCCATCACGTGACGGAGAGAAGCACTAGAAGCACGTGAAACTATTGCCATAAGATTCGATTCAGGTTTCTGTATTTCATTATGGGTTTGGAGAGCGGGAGAGATATGACAATCGGTATTGGGAGAAAAGGTACAGGTAATCGACGCACTGTGAGAATACTCGGGGAATACACATGCACCTGTGCATAAAATGGACCTGTCCCACATTGCCGAGGTCGGATTCTATTGAGGGAGTCATCATTATTAAGATAGGGGTGAATATTTTTAAAGCTTGTACATTTTATCAGCATCCTTAAAGAGGCTGTGAATAATGTTGACTCGTGGTCATCGTTTATTTCTTTAAAAAAGCAACGTCAAATAACATACTATATAGGAAAACGTCACAGACGAGAAACGTGACGCCGATGATGTCACACAGCAATAAACTAGATTGCAGCCGGCCGTTAGGGAACAGCGGTCTGTGCTCAAGTTATGCCCGCAGATTTCTAACTTGTTTAAACGTTCACATTTAGTGCTTTATACACTCCCTTGCTCACGTTAGTCATTTACATATGCATTAAGCGTTGTAGCGGAAACATATGTCCTGGTCCTGTCATTTATTCCGGTTGTAAGTGTCAAAATTTTAATTTTGACATGTGCAGTAAAGAAACCAGATTGTGTAAAGTTTTCGGCAAAATAAATTTGTTATGGCGTCATATTAGGTAGCAGAAAAATAATGGGTAATATATTTCTGCTAACCTAATATGGCAACTAAAGACTAAAGACACTATAACTAATTTTACCCTGCACGCAAGACACATGCACCCTACTTCACTATAACATATTTACCCGACACCTGAATCCAATTTATATTTAGGATATATATACGTTGAAGTGAGATGCATATATTCTAGTGATTATAATCCTATCACGTGTGTTCACGGGTTTGCACCAACGTAGATTTACTTATCCGACCAGTGATGGTGAATGGTAACTGCTTGCTGCTGCCAACAACAACGATTTAAAGGGCTACGAGACGACTAATACTGCCCCAAAAGGAAAGTATACTCCCCCGTTTGATGTGACTAAAAAAGTAACAAACAAGTACTGGTTATTCCATGGAAATGTATTTGATACGTGTATATGATAGTTGTGTTTTGGACCTGAAGTTTGCAGTGTTTCGGCGACTGTTTTCAGTCGCGTAAACGTTTTTTTTTATAACGTTTGTAATTTTTTGGTCTTACCCTATTGTCCAGTGCATTCGTTCTTTGTCCGTCAGTTCATACGGCACGAATAATTATATTAGCTACAACGGCCAACATTGTTGAGTGGTAACCCTGATCTCATGGAGGTCATTAATTACACCAAGGCGTGTTCTGACATACGAATATGTACAATAGGTTTGCGCAAGGCAACTTTACGAAATTGGACTCTCATTTCAAGAAATTTCGACTCTGTGGACATATTATGGTAAAATACCAGTGTTGTTGAATACCAGTGCACCCAGACTGTCCTGGGGATATTAAAGACCTCACAATCAGTTATACAGTCATATAATTTGAAATATGACCAACACATAAAGTTCAATACCCCGGTCCTCACTTGGCATGCTAGTTAATTATTAGAAAATACGATAAGTAGTTATTCACTAGAATATGCACGAAACATCGTCAATATTGTGTTATTTCGTGAGGTGGGAAAATGAGCGTTAAAAAAACTATCCCTTTTTAGTATTTCGGGTAATAATGATATATGCTTAACACTGATTACTAAAGTCACATAAAACACGGACGGGACCGGGTGGTTAGGCTCCCTGATTTGGTTCATGCATGTCATCGTATCCCAATTCCGGTGATGATGTCAATCACTGGATTGTCTGGTCCAGAATCGATTATTTACAGATCGCCGTCATATAGCTGGAATATTGCTGAGTGCGACGTTAAACAACAAACAAACACACAGAAGGTTAATTGTCAATTTTCTGAAGCGAATCTACCCCCACCGACTGAGGCTCTTGACTGTATCAAGGCCAGAAAAAGTAACTGGAATATTATCTCCTGAAAATATATAAAAACACACCATCATATCTATGTAAACACACCTGAATGATCAACAACAATCATTCATGTTATAACATGAGTTAAATGTCGTTATTAGTAGGTGAAACTGTGCAAGACTTGTATACCTTTCTCGGCAAGAATGCAGTATACCGGACACCTTCCGCCATTTTGGTAAGGGATGTGCACGAGCTCATTCCTTAGTAACGGTTTCTAAGTTTTTCAGACGACACTTTTGTCGTCTCGCTAAAATAACAGGGGGTTTGGGGGTCTTGCCGCCCACTCAACGGCTGTAATTAAACGCTGTCGGAAGTAAATGAAATGTTTAATTACCAAATTAGATACAAAATACGTGTTCGCTGAAATGTGGTTCTGACGGGTGTCATTAATGAGGCTGTCCCACGCCATTATGTAATTCCTAATTTCGAATACTTTTTCGATGTTGATATTCAATTTTCGACGTTTATGCATTGCTTTGATATTCAATTTCAAGGTTTAATTTTTTTTTCTGGTTTTGAGCTTGATCGCCGTGTTCTTCAAATAGTAATGCTGTCGCGCGCGGCTCTATTAGTAGCACCAAACAAACATGGCGGATAGGGTATAATGCATGTGTACCCCTTTTTCTTTACTTGTTGAGATGCAGACGCAGAACCTGTGACAATCATGCCTCGACCAATCCTGTTTAGGGCCCAGGTGCCACGTCATCGAGCTGCAATGGCCAAGACAGCATCCGAGGTTCAGGTTTCAGGCCTGGTGTCCTCTTCACTAATGAATCCATGTTTCATATGGGTACAATGTGTGAAGCCCATTTCTAGGTGTCCCCCGCCGTGATATAGCTGGATATTGCTAAAAGCGGCGTAAAACCATACTCACTCACTCATTCACTCCCCCCATACTCCCTTGGCCCGCTGTTTCGCCAGATCTGTCGCCCACCGAGCAAGCGTGGAATAAAATGAATCGTCGTTATTACACCGTTATTACAGCAATAGGTGACGTTGGTCCAGATCAGGAATGACATCCTTCAAGACTTCCTCATTAATCTTGTGTCGTGAATGAGGCGCCGTTGTCCAGCTTGTGTCACTGATAATGATGGTCATACCCGATACTGACCTGTGACCTGACAATTGACCCAATGCCACAAGATGACGTTTACAGAGTACATGTGTTAACACTGTCATGATAAATTAGTGTTTCACGGACATCAAAATATTGTTCTGTCGCAAAATCTTTCTTTCTTTGTGTTTATTTACTATTTACCGAATACCCTCTAGATAGACCCACGAATCCCGCGTACCAAAAGATTCATGTAGACACAGTGATATGTATACTCGTACAAGGTGTCTAAAAACAGACCGCCACAACAAAACCCAGCCCACCTCTTGATCTGCCGGTGGAACGGCTTGCTTGTCGTTGTTCTATTAATCCACATTTTGTATATATAATTTGTTGCAATAAAAGTATCCACCACATTTCAATGTCAAGGTGACAAGTGTAAAACATTTTCTGGCTTACCGTACATGTCCTCATGTTGCGAAAAATGGTTCACTCTATAACGAAGTCCTGTCAGACGACTTTTTCTCTCCAATATAGTTTCGGACTTAAGAAATTATTTTAGAATAGACAAATATAAAATGAAAAAAAAATATTTACGTTTTGCATTTAGAATCTACTTACTAATATATTTTTCTAAATGTGTGTGTTTGTGTCATTGATGGGGCCTCATAGATACATACATACGCTCCTTGTGAAGCACACATTAATGTTCGAGTTCTAGTCCCTGCCTATATATTTATTTTATAGCGGTGTGCATGATATTTATGAAGAACAGTAACGCGTGCCATTGTTGTGACGTCACTAACTGGTACCCTGTCTATAAAAAAAATGCAGGCGTCATAGCTAAAGAGAATCCGCACCAGTTGATATGAGGTCACAACAGTAAAAAAAAGTTTGAGAGTGGGGAAAACTTGCCAGGCGAGGTTCATTCAAATTTTGCAGATCAGGAAAGAGTAAGTCCGACAGTATCGTTAAACATTGGAAGACGGAAGAGGGTAAACGTCGTTTTGTTCTTCATCATGATCATAAGACATCAATCTAATTTCGAAATATTTTATCTGTCAGCTGTTAAGTATTTTATTTTGTGAGATCGTGTAATCATAATGAGGAATATTCGGACAGTCGGACCCACTATGTCATATGATCTAATTATCCCACTCGAGATGTTACTATAACAATTCGGGGCCTAAGCATCATCTTATATAGGTTTTGTATTATTATTTCATGACATTATGACTTGTAGATGGCGTCATTGTCCAGTTTTGCATACACTGATACGGTCCCTAAAACACATTTAGATTGGTAGCTTCTACAATTGATAACTATCGTTGGAATCCTACAGAAAACAATTCGTTTACACATCTTTGTCTTCAAACAGATACATTATCAACTGCAAAATAGCAAGATTAATATATAATTTTAGCCAAAATGGAGCCCTACAGTCAACTGGCTGTCAGCAACTAATTTTCGAGCCCTGATGTAATATTTGAGTTGTTCTAGGTCATAATCCTGATAATATTCTTAAAAATTGTGTTTATAATTTTCATAGTTTGTATACACGTTGTTGCCACTGTCAGCATATATTTATAAGACTTAATTACTGTTTCAGACATGTCAGTCTACTCCACAAGCACCAGGGGGCAGTGCACACCCTACATCAATGACCTGGTCAAATTTGTCAAACTCAACATACGAGAACCAGAAGGTACTACCTAATGCATGACATCAAATAAAACATAAATTTATGACAAAAATTTCTGAATACAGGGTAAAACCCATTCACCTATTGTGTTCAGCACACCAATCACTTGTAAGACTATGACTTGTGAGCTGTTTTCTTTGCACATCATGTTTAAGATTACATAGAAATAGAAATATTATGAAAAGTATGATAAAAAGACACAAACCAGGTGGCCTGCTTCTTTTTCATCTGTAATAGCCTGAGTCCTATTAATCATTATGGTACCAGTGGTAATTGAATAGAAGGACATATTTCAGCTAATCTGCTCTGGTTTCAGTCCAACCATTTATGTGCAAGAAGGTATGGATGCGGAACAGCAATCATCTGGTGGAAGAGAGGAGGAACCACTTGTGGAGGAAACACTACTACCGCAGACAAAACAATCTGTCCCGGGGATACCACTCTGTGCCGTGGGAGCCCTTCCAAACAATGGGAGGTGAGCTTGTCATTGATACAGGCCAGCTCCTCATGCAAACACTCTCACATGTACTGGGCAATAAGGTTAGTGAAATCATCCATCACTGTTTGAATGGAGAATTTCCTTTAATATTTTATAATCTGGTATGATTGTTAACGTTCCCTGATTTCAGAGTAGTTATATACTGCTGTCATTACCAAATACTTGGCATATGTTACTGCCTTTACAATGTTGACTACATAGAAGACTTAGATTAAGCATTAGTATTAAGTATTAGAACACAGAAACCAATCATTCTGAAACAGACATTGAGGTATGAATCGAAAAACCGATGTGTAAACTGTATGAATCCGCATAGCATTAAATGTAGGGGGGATACTGACGCCTCGTCTGTCTCCCCCCCCCCCCCCCATCAGTCATTATCATTTCGTTTCCGGAGTGTAACTCGTAAACCGTTCTATATTTTTCAACAAAACTTGTCAGATATATCAAACAGATCCTGAAGTGTTGCTTTTTGTTATTTACATATTTCTGCTTTTTTATTTTTCACAATTTCCATGGAAACAATAGTCTCATAAGGGGTCGGATTTGGTTTCCGAGGTGTAACTAAAAGAACTTTCAATATCTTTCAACAAAAATTGGCAGATATATCAAACAGATACTGAAGTTGTGCCTTTTGCTACTTGCGGATTTTTTACATTTATATTTTTCCCGATTTCCATGGAAACAATTTGGTATCAGATCTCTTATAAGGGGTCGGATTTGGTTTCCAAGGCATAACTAAAAAAACTTACAATATCTTTCAACAAAACTTGGCAGATATATCAAACAGGTCCTGAGGGGAGCCTTTTGCTATTTGCAGAGTTTTAGCATTTTTATTTTTATTGATTTCCAAAGGAGAAGAAGATGTTGTTTCCAGAGCACAACTTGAAAACTGTGAAAGCCTTTTTTTACAATCAAACCTGGTACATGTATTAACCAAGGGTGAAGTGCTGCCTTTTGCTATTTAGGAAGTTTTCAAAATTTGAGTTTTCCCTGTTCCTGTTTCCATGGAAACAAGTTAGACTTAGCTGAAACTGAGGTAGGTGTCGTTTCCGGAGCAGAAGTAAAAAAGTATTCAACATGTTTCATCCAAACCTGGTACATGTAGTAATCAAGGGCTGAAGTGGTGCCTTTTTCTATTCAGGAAATGTTACGCGTGTATTTTTTCCTGTTTTCCATGGCAACAAGTTTGATGTTGACTATGTTCACTATGTTTGTCCGGACCATATCTCTAGAATGTAATAGATATTCTTTCATGACACTTGCACACACGGAGACCAGGTTGTCAACTGGTACCTTTTGCTATTTAGGGATTATTAGAATTAATATTTTTTTCATTTCCATGGCAACAAGTTTGACTTTGACCATTTCTCTAAAGCTAATAGGTACTACTGATGTATACGGACAAACAGATTAGATAGAAACTCTCTCATCAAGTTGGACTTAAAGTAACAGTCACATGATTTGCTCTTTCAAATTTGGAGGGGCCGGGGGGATTTGTCAGCTTCTGATGACTCTTGTTTCTGCCTATTGTACTTATTGTAGTTGGATGTTGTAAATATTATGGAGACAGTCTTCTAAGTTGGACAAATTCCACCCAGTCCATGTCACTATTTTGAATAAAATGTGTTTAAAGCAAAACACACAAAAATGGAAGTCTATTTGCAGGAACTCAGGAAGCACTCACACCATGATATGGACAACCAGGATACCCTTCCACCAGTAGAAAACCCACCGTTTGAGGTGAGTTCATGGTTAGAATTAGATCTGGGGATCTGAGAACAGCATTTCTCAAGACATACTGTCATTACAAAAACCTAAACATTTTTATCCCCCTGCCCAAGCGAAGTCCGTCCGTCCATCCGTCCGTCCGCCGCGTTCCGTTTCCAGAGCAGAACTCAGAAACCATAAGAGGGGACTTTACAAAACTTGGTACACACATTCACCATATGGTGTAGATGTGCCTTTTGCTGTTTATGTCCCCCTGCATTTTTAATATATTTTATAAACTTTTGAAATTTGGACTTAATCCCTGAACTGAATAAAAGCAATGGTTTTCATTTCCGGAACAGAACTAGAAAATTTTTTTAGACTTCTTTAAGAAACTTGGTAAACTCATTCACCACATGGTGTAGATGTGCCATTTGCTATTTATGATTCCTCCAATTATTTTGTTTTTATGTTAATTTTATACATTTAGACTTGAATTGTATGGAATTCATCTCACAATCTGTTACGTACTTCTCCATGAAACTTTGTACAATATCAGTCTAAGGCTGTTTTAGAGTCTTTGTTCTTTAAAGATTTAAACAGAATGTTATATTTTCTTATTTCAATTAAATGGGACACCAGTAGCAACAAACAAGGCTATAAAGTGATTCATAGTAGATGTATTAGAAAGTCACCAGGTTTTGAGAGGTCAGCATGCTCACAACTTATCTGTGCTGTGTACCTTACTCTGGTAACTACCTGTAGATGGTAGGGCTGCAACAATGCCTGCCTGTATCATATAACAATAGCTCTACAGTACAATTAGAGATATCTAAATGAGTGACTTGTACAGTGCTCAAGGATACAAAATATTCTTAGCTTTCAGTCTTACTAGGTAAAGCAGATATTTGTATAAAGTTTTATAGAGATTGTATAGAGCTCTTGTATTCAACCTCTTCCACAAGCAGGTGGACAAACTGATAATTTACAAAGTCTCGTTTGATTGTACAGATCATTGTCTATAAGACTGGACAATGGGCGGGGGTTATAGATGACATGTCCTCAGTGTCCCTCATGATAATTTGGTAGTTACTGTGTGTGACCTGACTAACAGAATGTATTTCAAGTTTTAGGGACAACAGAGAGCTTAAGATTTCCTGTAGGTGACTGTGACATATCTTTGGTGCCACAATGAGAGGTATGATGTCACAATAGTGACATGCATTGTGGAACTGCTTCGTTAACTTTGGGCTGCCAACTTCATGTTGGCTTATGAAGCGTTGCACACCAAAGAGTCTGCATTTACTGTTGTCATGGTAGGATGGAGATGAACCTAATCTGTTTTGAAATTAAAATGCCTGGTTACAAATGTTTGTTTGTTTGTTTGTTTAACACCACACTGAGCAATATTCCAGCTATATGGTGGCGATCTGTAAATAATCGAGTCTGGACCTGACAATACAGTGATTGACATCATGAGCTTCGATCCACTCAATTGGGATACGATGACATGCATCAACCAAGTCAGCGAGCCTGACCACCCAAACATTTTAGGTATCTTAATTACAGTGACACTACCTCAAATTAAAAAACACAGGTTTTTCTTCCAACTGTACCACGACAGCGATGACCTGTGTCCTCAGGCTTGTCAGGTTCAGACTGAAGGGATATTGCTGTCGTGTTGCTCACTGTACTGTAACACAACATCCAGTCACAAATTCACTGAAAATCATGGCGCATTCTTTTTGAAACCATCTGTTTTCAGAGATGATATTGTTATTGTTCCAGAGCAAAGCAACAGGGAGTGTTGAAGCCAAAAAGTTTTCTCGTGCAGGTTTTGAAGATATCATGGAAGCTCTTCAGATAACACGGGCTCGCATAGCAGCAGTAAGAGCAGGACTTCCCTATGAGGAACATGTCCGTTTCATTGAGGTGAGTAAAGTGAGTGAGTGAGTGAGTGAGTTGTGTTTAACGCCGCTTTTAACAGTATTCCAGTTATATCACGGCGTGTCAGCTTCATGTGGGAGGAAAGCCCGAAGTGATGCAGTTCTCAGACGTTTACCACTTCGGTGAAACCCATGAGCACGGGTATGGTGCTGACAAACCTAGAAACATAATTGGGGCGAACCGGGATTCGAACCCACAATCATAGGTTTCTGGCGTGCCCAAGGGACGCAACTCTGCACAGCGAATCGCGGCGCCTTAGACGACTGGGCCACCCGTGCCCCCAGGTGAGTAAAGCCAAATATAACGTTGAAAATATAAATGGTAGTCAGTTTGTCAATGGAAACCAAAGCTTGAAGGTCTGCTATTGTAAGAGTGAATATTATCCTACCCTATTTTTTACCCCGGGGATGAAATTCTCTAGTGTCAAGATGACTCTCCCTAGTGAATTTAAACCCATACCAGTGTGGCACTAAGGTAGGATACTATACTCTAGAAGAAAACTTTCCCCGGGATAATATTTAGGTAGCATATAATCCTTGCTTACACTATCTCCAGGTGTTTCATTTATGGAATTCTGAAATAGCTCTCACCATAATGTTTTAACAGTAGACAAAATGGCCATAGCAAGTGCCAGTTTCTTCACTCTCATACTATGTATACTCTGAGGTGCATGTCTGTGTTTAAAATCTGTTGAAATTTGGGTGGGTTTGCTAGAAATCTTATGATAGTCATCCTTGAAAGTAGTGGAGGTGCTGCAGTATTGCTGCCCAATGTCTATGAACTGTTGCTTGCCTTCAGAACATGTCTAGGTATGGTGAAGATCAGCCAGAGAATGACATGGAGCTGCTGTCTCTCACGGACCTGGGCCTGCTCGCCATGCAGTCTCGCAACACACGGGAGTCGGACCAGGACACAGACCTGGAGTCAGGTGGCCGGTCTTCCCCAGGCAAACCACTCCTCTCCTCCAGCCCTGTCGACAGTGTGAGTTGGTGTCCACCCCTCCACCTTCTTTGTCCCCTCCGTATCAGTCTATAGTGTGTCTCTTTTCACTTTGTCAGCCTTGGAAATTTGACTTTATGAAGATTACTTGTGTAAACCTTGGTCCACAGAGATTGTATGGTTAGTCCTTGAATGAGACAAAAATGTTTACAGTTTTTATAGGCTTTATTCAGTTCCAAAATGTGGCAATATTGAAGTATTTAAAATGGTTCAGAATATAGCCCTCAAATGCTACTAGTCTAATAGTCTAGCGTTAGAAATTGGCACTGGTCCTGTAGTCCTTGTCAAACTTCCCAATAGTTAAGGTATCCTAAGGACTAGTAGAAAGTTGCCATTTTTAAGGGGTTTGCTATATGTTATTATTATAAGGACTAGTGGACTAAAAATGTTAGTTTCTACTGCTGTAGTCAATGAGGACTATGATCTTTTTAGTTGTCTGGGGCTTGTAGACTTGCATGAATTTCAAAGGCTGTTAGTGGGCAAAATGTTAGTAAAAGAAATGATTTTTTTGTTGGAAAAGGCTTTGTTATACATCAACACGATGTGCAGGGTTTTACGTGACACACAAATGTGTGTCTAGTACACACAAATGTGCATTCAGTATGCACAAATGTAGAGAATGGATGCAGAAAAAAATAAACGGCACTCTGAGGGACGCACGACAATATTCATTGTAGATCAAGCACATCAGGATCATTTATGGGTGTCTGTTATTTCATCCATCAATCATGACCACTGTCCACATGATCACTGATCCATTCCATCCAGGCTGCACAACACCACCTCATTACTTTACAGGACCCTCATAATGCAAACAAGGACCCTTAAAATGAATTATTGGGAGTTTCCCAGTAGCTTGGGAATTCTTGTACATGCAAACGCTGATCATGTCTTTCTGCAGCTTCTCGAGGCAAAGGTGTTAACTGACTATAAAAGACCAGTTTCCTTCCTTGCCGAACAAGGCTGAAACCTCATGGCTTGATCAAGCGCCTGCCACAGTGACCAGTGGCTTTTATGAGTTATGTCCCTTTTTTGTCTCTCCTATTGACCAATCAGATTCCACCTCTCATTCCCTTGCATTTGCTTTGGACAAAATGGTGATGCCCAGTCAAGACGATCTGATCGATAAACAAGATCTATATTGTAATAAAACAGATTCAACACCCAGTTGATGGTACACATGCTTTGCAAATCCTGCAACCAACCAACATCTGCTTGGAATCCCCTGTATTGTTTACAAACCGGGTGTTGAATTCATAACTCGATTTTGATCATGCATAGACTCCTTAGTCCATCCCAACTATAACTCTGAAATTTCTGCCTATTTCAGGAAGGGAGGAAACAGGACTTTTAGTTTTAGTCAGTTAACTCTCTTGCCTTGGGAACATTGGCTTTCTGTGGTATATGAATTGCTAACTTGATATTATGACTTAGTAATACTAACTTGATATTATGACTTAGTATTACTAACTTGATATTATGACTTAGTATTACCAACTTGATATTATGACTTAGTATTACTAACTTGATATTATGACTTTGGATTACTAACTTGATATTATGACTTAGTATTACTTACTTGATATTATGACTTAGTATTACTAACTTGATATTATGACTTAGTATTACTAACTTGATATTATGACTTTGGATTACTAACTTGATATTATGACTTAGTATTACTAACTTGATATTATGACTTAGTATTACTCACTTGATATTATGACTTTGGATTACTAACTTGATATTATGACTTAGTATTACTAACTTGATATTATGACTTTGGATTACTCACTTGATATTATGGCTTTGTAGGATAACAAGAGCCCTGCTAGTGTCCAATTGGGAGATGGAGAAGACATTGGTACTTCCCCTTCCATCTGCTCATCTGAGCTGGAGTCAGGTAGTCATGACAACAAGATGATTCGTATTGCCAGTCTTCTGAGGTAAGTTGACCATTCACATGATGACCCTTCATGTGGCAGGTTATGGCATCAAGGGATACATGATCTACACAAACAGTCACACTTTCAACCGTTTCTGAACAAACATCAGTAGATTTTTCATCTTTCTCGGGATCTCCTTTTTCTCATAGTCTATTGGGTGAGAGACCCATTTTAGACAACTGATATATCACACATATATGAGATCGAATTCCATGTCCGTGATTAGCTATGCCATGATCATGACCTCAGGTCAGATTATGACATGCTACTTTCCTGATTGTAATTCATTGACTCATGCTTTAGTCGAATTCACCCCACCTACCTTAACTAAATTTGTAAACCTATCCTATCTCACACTATGCATTTCATCCTTTTTCTTCGATCCTGGTGTGGAGTTTCCAGGATGAAAAAACACTTCACCCAAACACATCCCATTCTGGAATACTGCTAAAAGCGGCGTAAAATCAAACTCACTCGCTCACTCCTTCATCACCAAGTCAGCAACCATCTCTTCACTTTCGTGAGAGAACACACTTTCTGACTCGTTCCTTACAGTCGATCTTGCCACCTATATGACTACCACGCCTTCTGCTCGTGAGGTTACACGTCTACCTTTATCCCGAATTTGGTTGACCATCGGACTATACATTCAACTGACACGCCCCTGTTGTCTCCTTCTAGGGATACACACAGACCATCAGCAGAAAGTCGCCCCTGTGAATTACCCCAGAGATTGCCACAGAACTGGTTTCTGAGATTTCTACCCCATGCACTGTCATAATGGATCGACTTACCTCGAAGGATCAACTGGATTCGACACCAACACTATTCAAAGGATCAAAACTAATTATCAATGGGAGGATCGATAGGTCGACAGATCAATAGATCAACGTGCATCGCCTAATCGAATTCACTCAGAGGATTGGCAGATATTAATGGATCAACAAGAGACATCACTTGAGTGATTGACAGATCGAATCATCACCAGATCCACTTCACTCAAGAGGTTGACAACCTTCGGCAGATCAACATTATTCGAGGTATCAACATCGTTGTAGCTCTAGGACTCCTGCCTCAAAGGATCACCGTTAACCTGTACTTACGCCTAGACGACCTCAACTCTCTTTGACTTCCGGTCGACATCCTTCTAAGGATCATCCGAATAACTCCCATGGACAACATGTTCTGCCTCCAACCTGTCCAAAGACAAAACAAGGTCTAGGTCCTAAGCGGGAAAATGAGAATGACCTTCAACATGAAGCTTTTCAAACACCCATCTGGAGAGACTTCCTCACTTCTGCATGGTGTCCATTGCGCTGTTGCACACCATTATTCGACCAGGAGACTTCATCTTCCCGAGGCAAGGGAGTTAACTGACTTTAAAAGTCCAGTTTCCACCCTTGCCAAACTACGCTGGAATTTTCAGGCTCGATCGTAGCGGCACCAGTGGCTATTACGAGTTATATCCTTTCTATCTCCCTTCTATTGACCAATCAGATTCCATTTCTCACATCACATGCATTTGCTTCAAACAAAATAGCGGCGGCCAGTCAAGAAATTCTGATCGATAATCAAAATCTATATTGTATCTATCATTTGAGCACCTTGATTAAAAACAGGATAAGATTTACAAAATATTTGTTGACGCCCAGTTGACAGTACACATGCTTTGCAAATCCTGCAGTCAATCAAAATCTGCACATTGAAATCCATGTTTCCGAATCGAATGTCTAGTTTGTTGTGCGATTTTGATTGGACTCATTAGTCCAGCCAAAATGTAACTCCAGAATTTCAGCCTAGTTCGGCAAGGATGGAAACTAGACTTCTAAAGTCAGTTAACTCCCTTGCCTTGGGAAGATGGGACACTTATTGGTCAGTCTCGACCTTCAGGATGCGTATCTTCATGTCCCCATTCATCCTGACCATCGAAGGTACCTCCGTTTCATAATCTTAGGGGAACACTATCAGTGGCTTTTCACACCAGTCACGCAGTTTCTACATCGCCAAGGGATAACATTTGAGGCTTACATAAACGATTGTATGGATCTCATGCCGACCAACTGATGCTTGAGTAGCATCTTAGTTATTCTGTATATAAAGGTATCTGCAGCCCTGCAATGTTTACGCAAACAACAATTCATCCCTTCATCAATGGCTGCAAACTCTGAATTATCCTACAAGTTCCTTTTGACTGAGTCACCATGGTGATGGAAGGGATGTGTTTGGGGGAAGTGTTGTTTTTTTAAGCTGGAAAGTTTTCTAGCGGCATTTCCACACTACAATAGAAGAAGAAGTATGAAATGCATAGTGTGAGATAGGATAATTATATTGATGTACAATTTATTGCAATATTTTCAATTTTGGTCCTCTACTTTGCATATACAAATTTACCCCTTGGGTGACCTTAATGATGTTAATATTGTGACTATAGATCTTCATTGGATTCATATTAATGTGAGATATGGGGCGGTCGGGTAGCCTAGTGGTTAAAGCATTCGCTCGTCACGCAGAAGACCCGGGTTCGATTCCCGACATGGGTACAATGTGTGAAGCCCATTTCTGGTGTCCCCCGCCGTGATATTGCTGGAATATTGCTAAAAGCGGCGTAAAACCATACTCACTCACTCACTCACTAATATGAGATATCCAGATATGCTGTACTTATCTCTTCTGAGGTTGCTATCATTTCTCTTTCACATCATTTCTCATTCCTCTTCGTCCCTAACCTATGCTATAGCCGAGAAATGCAGGAACGAAGATGCAGAGACCACATAGAGTATCTGAATGACATTCACAGTGTCATCTTGTCACTCAGGCGGATGCAAACACGTGACCTCCGCAGCAAGGTAGGCCTGGGGTAGCCACACTACCTCTACACAGTCTCTCCTGTGCTCACATGTCTCCCAATGTCTCCCAGCATGCTCTTAATCTGATTTTAATCATTTCAACCAAGTAAGCCATATTGGTATAGCAGTTTGGCATGTTCATTTTACCACAACTGACTGAATTTCATGTCAGCTTTATCGTGGCGTGTCATCCATTGTCCAGATGTCCATTCAGGTGTGTGCATATAACTTTTGACATCTCCACTGAAACTCCAAGGCTGAAACTGTGTGAATGAGCTTATGCCACAGCAACCATATTGAAAATGTCATTTTGGGTCATTACTTTATGAGCTTCCATATGGAGCATATATGTATGAAATTTTATGGGTTTTTTTTGCATATTCTTGTGTTACTGAATTAAAAGTGGTCACTCAAATTCCAATCCGATTTTAGACATTGCAATGATTATTTCTTCATAAGTCAGGTGTGCTCCAGCTCTTGTGGCTCTATTTTGTTGCCATTCTACTGCTTTTTATCCCCCGGGGATATAGAAACGGGCTCCGTCCGTAGGTATGTACATCCGTCCGTCACATTTCGTTTCCGGAGCATAACTCAGAAACTGTTCAATATTTTTTCATTACACTTTGCAGGTCTGTCAAATACATGCTGAACTGTTGCCTTTTGCTATTTAGAAATTTTTGAAATTTTCATTTTTTACGTTTCCATGGTAACAAGATGGACTTAGGTTCCAAAACTATTCTTTTTTTTACAATTTCCATGACAAGTTCCACCTCAGTTAAAAAAGGTTAGGGTTTGTTTAGATTTAATTTATGTCATAAATTCTGCAACAGGGGCGTTAGTTGCAAACTCTTGTTTAATTTATTTTAATTATTTAATATGAAATATGTCAGAGGTCATATAACTCAATGTATAACCAAAGACAGGTGTGGTGTAGATTCAGACAATGACCTACAAGCTTTGAGAAATTACAGATTATCTGTCCTGAGAGATTTTATTTTGAGCAATAGGTAAGAAAAGGGAGAAAAAGGTGGGTTCTTTTTCTCAAGCAGAGACGTAAGATCAGTTATTGAAGCATATTCAGTTTTTATGTCATTACACTCATATGACATTATGTTGCTGTGGGCCTCTTTGCAAACAGTTTCAACTATATCTGTGCCCCTGTGGGTAACATACTTGTGATTCTTCCACAGACTCCTCTGTCACGCGAGAGCCTTCGAGAGCTGATGAAAGCCTATACCGGGACTGAGAGGGATAGTCGACTTACACAAGTGTAGGTACATCCCAACCTTACTTTTAACTGAACACCTAGAAACACATCAATGTGCTGTTCCCCAGATTTGAAGGATCCTTATCCCTTTTGACAAAATATTGAAAAAAAGGAAACATTGGAAGCATGATTACTTGTATGATTAATTGATTACAGGTTGAAAAGTATTGCACGGAATATACTTTTAAGAAATTTTTAAAATCTATATGTCAAATAAAACGGAAACTATTGTTGGCAATGACATTATTTGTTTCAGACGGTTTTCCCGCAACTATAACCGCCGTATGTCCATGGACACAAGTATGTCGGGAGACACCTCTTCCTTGAGCCAGGAGGGTGGACGATCATCCATCGTATCGCAGACACCTACGTCACGGCGTCGTAGTCGAGTGGGGTCCATTTTTGGACCACTACCAACACCATCTTCAAGGTACAGAGACACCTGTTCAATAGTTGGATGTGATGTTGTGTGAGGAGTGACTGCAGGGTCATGTGATGTGTGTGGAGTGACTGCAGGGTCATGTGATGTGTGTGGAGTGACTGCAGGGTCATGTGATGTGTGTGGAGTGACTGCAGGGTCATGTGATGTGTGTGGAGTGACTGCAGAGTCATGTGATGTGTGTGGAGTGACTGCAGGGTCATGTGATGTGTTTGGAGTGACTGCAGGGTCATGTGATGTGTGTGGAGTGACTGCAGAGTCATGTGATGTGTGTGGAGTGACTGCAGGGTCATGTGATGTGTGTGGAGTGACTGCAGGGTCATGTGATGTGTGTGGAGTGACTGCAGGATCATGTGATGTGTGTGGAGTGACTGCAGGGTCATGTGATGTGTGTGGAGTGACTGCACAGTCATGTGATGTGTGTGGAGTGACTGCAGAGTCATGTGATGTGTGTGGAGTGACTGCAGAGTCATGTGATGTGTGTGGAGTGACTGCAGAGTCATGTGATGTGTGTGGAGTGACTGCAGGGTCATGTGATGTGTGTGGAGTGACTGCAGAGTCATGTGATGTGTGTGGAGTGACTGCAGAGTCATGTGATGTGTGTGGAGTGACTGCAGAGTCATGTGATGGACCATAGATTTTGTTCCCCTGCAAGTGTTTTACGTCTTGGTATAAATTTGCAAGGCGAAAATGTTCTCTCACCATAACCATAACCCTGATATATAAATATGCAAGTTGATATCTTCAACTGACTGGACCTGGAACACGAGGAACTGATCGTGTAGACACCAACACATCATATTTTACATGAAACTGGATTAAGTCAGCAAGTACAAGATACTATGGGTTTAAGAAATCATAATGGGCAAGTATATCCTTTTGATATTTGCAAAGTGTGCAATTAGTGATTCTTGAGGCTCATTGGTCAGTTAAACAAAGATCAATTTTCATTGGACAACAGGACTGTTTTTCTCTCATTCCATTCATTCACAAATCAACGCCATGCATTCAAATGTTTCACATGCTACAATCTCACCGATTCGAGATTTTTAAGACAAGGAACATTGTTTCATATCAACAGCATGATTTCACATTATTATTTTTCCATTTGTTTCACATGATTTTCGTTATACAGTAGAAACCAAAACTATGTCTGCGTTGTTTGTAAACAAACATGGCTGACCATTTGACACCTGTCAAAGTAAATGACCTCATTAAAGCGGACGGAGATCTGACTGACATGAAGAGTTATTGGTATATATTCGTATTCAAACTCAGAACACTTTTAATGTTTTCGTTGCATATGGCCAGATTGAAGTTCCAAGATTCATAGTGTTGTCAGAGTGTTTTTAGTGTTTTAGTGCACTAAGATCAACACCACCAAGTCCATGTTTGCGTCTGTTTTTAGAAGACTTGCTGTTTGGTGATTTTTTCGACCACCCGAATCCAAAAAAACAGACTTAGTACAAACTGCCAATGAAAATGAAAACACAATGTAAAAGACTAAACTGACAAGTTGACTTGAACTTAGTTCACAAATTTTTACAGGTAAGAAAAACGCAAAAATTAAGACTACTCTCACTTTCAACGATGGCATCAGAATAAAAACGAACTCTTTTTGCAACAACTTTTAGACTTTCCAAAAAAAAATAAAAAAGATCCATTATTTCGTAGAATTTTGTAACATTGTGTGAAGAAATGAGAACGTTGTGACACTTTTTTATACAATGTATATGTTTTTGTAACCGTGAATGTCAGGACAGTGTGGCACTGAGCGGTATGCAAGCTGACCAACGTCCATGGCAGGGACCATGACGGTTAAATGACACAGGAAAGCTGGAACTAAACATCATTTATAATTGACGGTTCAGAATTCGCAATGTCTACTTTGAAGGAGATCAAGGGTAGCACAGAGTTTACTTTAGCAACATGATTACTAACATCTGCTCGCAAAATCAATGCACTTTGCTGAACTCGGAGAGGGTTAGAAATCAAAACAAAATAATTAAAATACAAGGGAAAGGAAACTTACCCCAGGGAGCTGATCCTGTATCTGATATTGAACTAAATGAACTCTGTGAATGTGGACAGCTTGGCACTAAGTTTCCTGATACCTAATGAATCACATCAAAATATCAACAAACTTCTGTCATCTACTAGACTGTGTTCACTCCAAAAGCGTGTTTGACAAGTCCTCCTAAAATCCCACGTGCACATACTTCCCATCAGCATGATCAGTCACACTTGTCTTAAATCACACACAATGTTCATTAAACTTGTTGTCCAGATTAAACGCCTTCTTTTGTCATTCTTGGTTTCGGCTGTCTCATATCTGGGTCAAGTTGGGTCACTGTGACAGCAATCATACTTTTCAAAGTTTACCTACTTTTCGTAATTTTTCTCTAACAAACATGACTTCTATGCATTCCATCAATGTTGTTGTTAAAGGTTTTGGCATTTATTTCGAATGACATGAAAAAGTTGACAGGTTTTCCGTGTTTCCTCTTTCTGTTTCCGTCTGTCATTGACGAGATCTTGTCAAAACAGGCCTTGATTAAAAAACCTGATGAACCTTTTTGGAAACTTGTCTTCTTTATCAATGCTAGAGAGTGTATGCTGTGTAAATCAGACAGAAATGTAACTTTAATAATGTTATCTTTATAGTTTTTTAAACAAAACTATTTTTTCACCTGTTACAACGGGTTCACTGAGTAATGCGATTGGAGTGAGTGGACAGTGTTTTTTCACATGCAGATTGATACAAAACAGCTGATTCTTGACCGGTAAAAAAAAATTTCCCCTTGAAATATATGTCTTTAATATAATTATGGGTAAGAAATAGACATAATTTCCCTAATCACTCCTACCAAGTGGGTTATTCTATAAAGATGTAACCTTATGCCCAGTCACACCAAGAAATCTACCCAATGTTAGAGGTATCCTTTGATCCAATCGAAATGTTGTTTTCCCTACAATAATGTTGGACCTGTGTGTAATCTAGACGCAAGACTCGGATTTCGGAGCATGACTATTGTCGGGTTGAGACCTGGGACGACCTGATCAGCTTGGATGAAAAGACGGGCAATGGTGGCACTCCAGCAGCCATGACACCGAACATAATCCTGAGGACTCTGAAATGGTCACGGTATGAAAAAAGCAGTTCCAATGTACCACCTTCTTCACAGGCAGTCATTTATACAGTTATAATATAACATGACTATCATTCGCAAAAACAGTCACCTAATAATGATACTGAGTGTATTCTGAATTATTTGGAAAATGGGCACGAATGAAAAATACTTAGTCTGAGATTGGTCACTCCGCAATATGACAGGCCTTCACTGGAGGAGGGTCAGTTTTCAGTACAGGTCATAATGAAGTTGACCAGAGGATGTATGCATAAAGGTTTTAGAGTGCCATGGTGTTTTGAGGAACCCACTCCACATGTAAACCATAACATCCTAACTGTCACGGTAAGCTGTTGTTTGTATCAGTGACTGAGTTGGGCATGTGCTGGACACTTGTGTGAAGCAGTGACTTTCTGAGTTGGGTATGGGTGAATAGTTACAGAAGTTTTCTGCAGGAAAACAAGCTTTGTGCAAGGTGACAGTGTCGATGATCGGGAAGCAAAGAGACAACCCATCTGGCAGCAGGTGGCACTGGAGAAGACCACTGGTATCTTTACCAAGAGCAAGTAAGTCCCAGAGACCACCACTGTCTTTTAATATATTAAGTTTTATATACTGAAGTTGTGTACTGTGGTGAGGGTTGGTTGAGGTGTGGGATACTGCAGGCTGACCATACAAGTATCCCAGGTATCCAAACATGGCAGTCTGACAGTGACACCTTTGGGTTAAATGTAAAATATTAAAAGTTAGTCAAGACTTGACCCTCAGATAGCTACAAGGCATCTATGAGTCGTTCTTCCCCAAACGGCTGAGTCATTATCCATAGGTCAAGCTTTGTGAAACTGTCTATGTATTGTGGTGGCCTGTGAGACTGATGTATGTATTATGGTGGCCTGTGAGACTGATGTATGTATTGTGGTGGCCTGTGAGACTGATGTATGTATTGTGGGGGCCTGTGAGACTGATGTGTGTATTGTGGAGGCCTGTGAGACTGATGTATGTATTGTGGAGGCCTGTGATGCTGATGTATGTATTGTGGAGGCCTGTGAGACTGATGTGTGTATTGTGGTGGCCTGTGAGACTGATGTGTGTATTGTGGAGGCCTGTGATGCTGATGTTGTGTATTGTGGTGGCCTGTGAGACTGATGTGTGTATTGTGGTGGCCTGTGAGACTGATGTGTGTATTGTGGAGGCCTGTGATGCTGATGTATGTATTGTGGTGGCCTGTGAGACTGATGTGTGTATTGTGGTGGCCTGTGAGACTGATGTGTGTATTGTGGAGGCCTGTGATGCTGATGTGTGTATTGTGGTGGCCTGTGAGACTGATGTGTGTATTGTGGTGGCCTGTGAGACTGATGTATGTATTGTGGTGGCCTGTGATGCTGATGTGTGTATTGTGGAGGCCTGTGATGCTGATGTATGTATTGTGGTGGCCTGTGAGACTGATGTGTGTATTGTGGTGGCCTGTGAGACTGATGTATGTATTGTGGTGGCCTGTGATGCTGATGTGTGTATTGTGGAGGCCTGTGATGCTGATGTATGTATTGTGGAGGCCTGTGAGACTGATGTGTGTATTGTGGAGGCCTGTGAGACTGATGTATGTATTGTGGTGGCCTGTGAGACTGATGTGTGTATTGTGGAGGCCTGTGATGCTGATGTATGTATTGTGGTGGCCTGTGATGCTGATGTATGTATTGTGGTGGCCTGTGAGACTGATGTATGTATTGTGGTGGCCTGTGAGACTGATGTATGTATTGTGGAGGCCTGTGATGCTGATGTATGTATTGTGGTGGCCTGTGAGACTGATGTGTGTATTGTGGAGGCCTGTGAGACTGATGTGTGTATTGTGGTGGCCTGTGAGACTGATGTGTGTATTGTGGTGGCCTGTGAGACTGATGTGTGTATTGTGGAGGCCTGTGAGACTGATGTGTGTATTGTGGTGGCCTGTGAGACTGATGTGTGTATTGTGGAGGCCTGTGAGACTGATGTGTGTATTGTGGTGGCCTGTGAGACTGATGTGTGTATTGTGGAGGCCTGTGAGACTGATGTGTGTATTGTGGTGGCCTGTGAGACTGATGTGTGTATTGTGGTGGCCTGTGAGACTGATGTGTGTATTGTGGAGGCCTGTGAGACTGATGTATGTATTGTGGAGGCCTGTGATGCTGATGCTATGTATTGTGGTGGCCTGTGAGACTGATGTGTGTATTGTGGTGGCCTGTGAGACTGATGTATGTATTGTGGTGGCCTGTGAGACTGATGTGTGTATTGTGGAGGCCTGTGAGACTGATGTATGTATTGTGGAGGCCTGTGATGCTGATGTATGTATTGTGGTGGCCTGTGAGACTGATGTGTGTATTGTGGTGGCCTGTATAATGATGTATGTATTGTGGTGGCCTGTGAGACTGATGTATGTATTGTGGAGGCCTGTGATGCTGATGTATGTATTGTGGTGGCCTGTGAGACTGATGTATGTATTGTGGATGCCTGTGATGTTGATGTGTGTATTGTGGTGGCCTGTGAGACTGATGTATGTATTGTGGAGGCCTGTGATGCTGATGTATGTATTGTGGTGGCCTGTGAGACTGATGTGTGTATTGTGGTGGCCTGTATAATGATGTATGTATTGTGGTGGCCTGTGAGACTGATGTATGTATTGTGGAGGCCTGTGATGCTGATGTATGTATTGTGGTGGCCTGTGAGACTGATGTGTGTATTGTGGTGGCCTGTGAGACTGATGTGTGTATTGTGGTGGCCTGTGAGACTGATGTGTGTATTATGGTGGCCTGTGAGACTGATGTGTGTATTGTGGAGGCCTGTGATGCTGATGTATGTATTGTGGTGGCCTGTGATACTGATGTGTGTATTGTGGTGGCCTGTGAGACTGATGTGTGTATTGTGGAGGCCTGTGAGACTGATGTGTGTATTGTGGTGGCCTGTGAGACTGATGTGTGTATTGTGGTGGCCTGTGAGACTGATGTGTGTATTGTGGAGGCCTGTGAGACTGATGTGTGTATTGTGGTGGCCTGTGAGACTGATGTGTGTATTGTGGAGGCCTGTGAGACTGATGTGTGTATTGTGGTGGCCTGTGAGACTGATGTGTGTATTGTGGAGGCCTGTGAGACTGATGTGTGTATTGTGGTGGCCTGTGAGACTGATGTGTGTATTGTGGTGGCCTGTGAGACTGATGTGTGTATTGTGGAGGCCTGTGAGACTGATGTATGTATTGTGGAGGCCTGTGATGCTGATGCTATGTATTGTGGTGGCCTGTGAGACTGATGTGTGTATTGTGGTGGCCTGTGAGACTGATGTATGTATTGTGGTGGCCTGTGAGACTGATGTGTGTATTGTGGAGGCCTGTGAGACTGATGTATGTATTGTGGAGGCCTGTGATGCTGATGTATGTATTGTGGTGGCCTGTGAGACTGATGTGTGTATTGTGGTGGCCTGTATAATGATGTATGTATTGTGGTGGCCTGTGAGACTGATGTATGTATTGTGGAGGCCTGTGATGCTGATGTATGTATTGTGGTGGCCTGTGAGACTGATGTATGTATTGTGGATGCCTGTGATGTTGATGTGTGTATTGTGGTGGCCTGTGAGACTGATGTATGTATTGTGGAGGCCTGTGATGCTGATGTATGTATTGTGGTGGCCTGTGAGACTGATGTGTGTATTGTGGTGGCCTGTATAATGATGTATGTATTGTGGTGGCCTGTGAGACTGATGTATGTATTGTGGAGGCCTGTGATGCTGATGTATGTATTGTGGTGGCCTGTGAGACTGATGTATGTATTGTGGATGCCTGTGATGCTGATGTATGTATTGTGGAGGCCTGTGATGCTGATGTTATGTATTGTGGTGGCATGTGAGACTGATGTGTGTATTGTGGTGGCCTGTGAGACTGATGTGTGTATTGTGGTGGCCTGTGAGACTGATGTGTGTATTGTGGTGGCCTGTGAGACTGATGTATGTATTGTGGTGGCCTGTGAGACTGATGTATGTATTGTGGTTGCCTGTGAGACTGATGTGTGTATTGTGGTGGCCTGTGAGACTGATGTGTGTATTGTGGTGGCCTGTGATGCTGATGTGTGTATTGTGGTGGCCTGTGAGACTGATGCATGTATTGTGGTGGCCTGTGAGACTGATGTATGTATTGTGGTGGCCTGTGAGACTGATGCTGTTTATTGTGCTGGCCAGGAGGAAACAGAGCAAGCTGGAGGACAATGCCTTGATGGTAGAGAGGGTGAAACACAACATGGCCAAGCTGAAGCACAACCTGCAGATTGAGGTGGATGCTGACCTGCAGAGGCTGGAGAGGTACACACTGTAACACCATGACCATGAGGATGGGTGTGTGGGATGTAGTGTCCAGACGGGTCAGTGGTGGGATGGGTGTGTGGGATGTAGTGTCCTTATGGGTCAGTGGTGGGATTTGTGTGTGGGATGTAGTGTCCTGACGGGTCAGTAGTGGGATTTGTGTGTGGGATGTATTGTCCTCATGGGTCAGTGGTGGGATGGGTGTGTGGGATGTAGTGTCCTGATGGGTCAGTGGTGGGATGGGTGTGTGGGATGTAGGGTCCTCATGGGTCAGTGGTGGGATGGGTGTGTGGGATGTAGTGTCCTGATGGGTGTGTGGTGGGATGTAGTGTCCTGATGGGTGTGTGGTGGGATGTAGTGTCCTGATGGGTCAGTGGTGGGATGGGTGTGTGGGATGTAGTGTCCTGATGGGTCAGTGGTGGGATGGGTGTGTGGGATGTAGTGTCCTGATGGGTGTGTGGGATGTAGGGTCCTGATGGGTCAGTGGTGTGATGGGTGTACGGGATGTAGTGTCCTGATGGGTCAATGGTGGGATGTAGTGTCCTGATGGGTCAGTGGTGGGATGGGTGCGTGGGATGTAGTGTCCTGATGGGTCAGTGGTGGGATGGGTGTGTGGGATGTAGGGTCCTGATGGGTCAGTGGTGGGATGGGTGTGTGGGATGTAGTGTCCTGATGGTTGTGTGGGATGTAGGGTCCTGATGGGTCAGTGGTGTGATGGGTGTACGGGATGTAGTGTCCTGATGGGTCAATGGTGGGATGTAGTGTCCTGATGGGTCAGTGGTGGGATGGGTGCGTGGGATGTAGTGTCCTGATGGGTCAGTGGTGGGATGGGTGTGTGGGATGTAGTGTCCTGATGGGTGTGTGGTGGGATGTAGTGTCCTGATCGGTCAGTGGTGGGATGGGTGTGTGGGATGTAGGGTCCTGATGGGTCAGTGGTGGGATGGGTGTGTGGGATGTAGTGTCCTGATGGGTGTGTGGGATGTAGGGTCCTGATGGGTCAGTGGTGTGATGGGTGTGTGGGATGTAGTGTCCTGATGGGTCAGTGGTGGGATGTAGTGTCCTGATAGGTCAGTGGTGGGATGGGTGTGTGGGATGTAGTGTCCTGATGGGTGTGTGGGATGTAGGGTCCTGATGGGTCAGTGGTGTGATGGGTGTGTGGGATGTAGTGTCCTGATGGGTCAGTGGTGGGATGTAGTGTCCTGATAGGTCAGTGGTGGGATGGGTGTGTGGGATGTAGTGTCCTGATGGGTCAGTGAGGGGATGGGTGTGTGGGATGTAGTGTCCTGATGGGTCAGTGGTGGGATGGGTGTGTGGGATGTAGTGTCCTGATGGGTCAGTGGTGGGACGAGTCAGTAGTAAGTCTTGGTAGTACAGTGGGACGGGTGGGTTGTTGTGAAATGTATTGTTAAGATGAGTCAGTAGTAAGGCTTGGTAGTCTAGTGGTTGGGTGAAACTTATTGTTAAGAAAAGTCAGTAAAAAGGCTTGGTAGTCTGGTGGCTGGGTGAAACGTATCGTCAAGACGAGTCGGTAGTAAGGTTTGGTAGTCCCGTAGGTGTGTGAAATGTATTTTTAATTCAAGTCAGTGGTGAGGCTTGGAAGCTTGGTTGGTGTGAAATGTTCCAATTATCAAGGTGACTCAGTGGTGGGTTTTGAAAGTTATGTAGTGACAAGATGAGACAGTGGTGAGGCTTAATCGGACATGAAAGGACATAAGACATAAGACAAGACATTATTTGGAGCTCAATGAGGGATGGATTGATTGGACATGGTCATGGCATGAAACTTTGGCTTTGATTGTTGGACTGATGTTTGGACATGACACATGGCTCGAAACTTTGACACAGTGCTTCTGTTTTTAGTGAAACAATGTAGAGAGTGAGGCAGAGTAAGAATCAGGAAGTATGGTGTTCAGACATGGGGAAGCAGACAGATGGGACCAAATGTGTGTATAGACTAGGGCTGCAACGAATACACTACGAGGCAAATACGATTTGTATCACAAATATAGGGTAATGAATACGAATATTAATTCACGAATACAATAACAAGTCAGCAGCTGATGTATCATTTGTTATATTCAGTGAAGCAATAACAACATAACCTATTTGACATGTTTTGTTAGTTATTAAGATATTATACATTTATATACTGCACTTATCCAGGTACTAGTATCTGCTCAAATGTGACAATGACAAGTTACCACAATACTGTCAATGTAAATAGTATAAGAGTGTTGTCTTTTGAAGAAATCTATGCATATAATGTTCTTATTGGTATTTTTATGTAAATGCACATGCTTGCATATTCATAAAGATTCGATTCTAGTGGCCACAAATAACGAATTCAATTCATGAATGGATACGGTTTGACTCACCGAATACACGAGTGAATCGTAACAGCCCTAGTATAGACACTGACCAAACTCCTCAGTACTGAGTGTAGGATGGATATCTGGTCACGATGGTGTTCTACATGTATGCCCTGACTCTGAATCAACTCTCACAGCACAATCTGTATTGCCCCTCAGCTCAGATGAGGCTTGTATCATTTTTCCCCTGCAGGACAAAGATGGTGATATTCAGATTCAAGATGCAGTGTTTTGGTGACCTGCAGCCGAGCTCTCTGTTAGAGAATCACTGTGAGCACATGCAAGATGCTGTAGAACTGATCTGTGCCAACCCTGATGTGGAAATCCAGCCGTCAAAGTGGTAAGTGTGTATATCTATAATGCCAACCCTGGTGTGGAGGTCTCACATTCTGAGTGGTAAGTGTATATCTCTAATGCCAACACTGGTGTAGAGGTCCCACATCCTGAGTGGTAAGTGTGTATATCTATAATGCCAACACTGGTGTGAAGGTCACACATTCTGAGTGGTAAGTGTGTATATCTATAATGCCAACACTGGTGTGGAGGTCCCACATTCTGAGTGGTAAGTGTGTATATCTATAATGCCAACCCTGGTGTGGAGGTCCCACATTCTGAGTGGTAAGTGTGTATATCTATAATGCCAACACTGGTGTGGAGGTCCCACATTCTGAGTGGTAAGTGTGTATATCTATAATGCCAACACTGGTGTGGAGGTCACACATTCTGAGTGGTAAGTGTGTATATCTATAATGCCAACACTGGTGTGGAGGTCCCACATTCTGAGTGGTAAGTGTGTATATCTATAATGCCAACACTGGTGTGGAGGTCCAGCATCCTGAGTGGTAAGTGTGTATATCTATAATGCCAACCCTGGTATGGAGGTCCTACATTCTGAGTGGTAAGTGTGTATATCTATAATGCCAACCCTGGTGTGGAGGCCCAGCATTCTGAGTGGTAAGTGTATATCTATAATGCCAACCCTGCTGTGGAGGTCCAGCATTGTGAGTGGTAAGTGTGTATATCTATAATGCCAACACTGGTGTGGAGGTCCAGCATTGTGAGTGGTAAGTGTGTATATCTATAATGCCAACCCTGGTGTGGAGGTCCCACATTCTGAGTGGTAAGTGTGTATATCTATAATGCCAACCCTGGTGTGGAGGTCCAGCATTCTGAGTGGTAAGTGTGTATATCTATAATGCCAACCCTATTCAGCCTTTGAAATTTATGCTTAGTCACTTACAGCTTTATTAATTGTTGTGAGATTATTTAAAAATACAATGATGGTAGTTTTCAATGCTCAGTGCTTCAATTTAGCCACAGATTGGCACAGAAATATAAACATAGTCAACATTTCTGTCTTGTTCAAGCAGCACTATTTACAAACTTGAGGACTAGTGAAATATGGTTTCTGCTAGTCCTGAGGCTGCAGATGGATTTACTGTAGCTCTCCTCGTCGGTGCAGGTACGATGAGCTAAGAGAGAGAACCCACATGAAGATAGCGTCCAATGATCCAGATATCGATGAAGCCTTGTCAAAGATCGGCCGATTCTCTCAGTTTGGAGTGAAGAGTATCCTGTATTCAAAAGTAATTACAATATGGGAACCCCTCAATATAGCCACATGCTGTCATGTTTGTTGAATTATGTATACTTATGCCCATGAGTTTATTTGGTGAATGAATGTAGTAGTTTCTTAATGTGAAGTTTCATCAGGGATCTTTGTCAGTCATCCGTCTACACTTTCCACTTCAAATCACTGCTGTGTACATTATCATAGTCCAACGACTTCTCCTTCGCTTACAGAAGAGTTATGTTTTCATAGTATTAAAAGATCACTTTTGATATAGCCTTCATGAGCCAAAACTTGAAAAAGGCAGCAAACATTAGCTTTGATATGGCCTTTGTGGCACACCATTAGGTATGTAGAATTCAAGTTATTGATAGATGTTCGTAATATTTTTTTCTGTATGTTGGGTACATCTAAGCACCCCAAATCGCCGTGCAGTTGCATAATTGGGCATGCCAGAAACATATGGTCATGGGTTTCATTCCCGGCCATGGTTTCTGTCAATGTCACCCCAGTACATTAAGCTATACTTTTCAGGCCAAGCTGTGTCTCCTAGTCATGTCACTGCCTGCATATCAAGTCTGCACAATCTCCATGCAAGCAGCATTGAAGGTGAGTGTTGTCTAGATTCCCTTAGCTTTTCTGTGGTAGGTTCTGCAAGAGTTAATGTCCACCTGGACATCAGACGGGATCACACTGCAGGAAGTGGACATCAGAAGGGATCACACTGCAGGAGGTGGACATCAGAAGGGATCACACTGCAGGAGGTGGACATCAGACGGGATCACACTGCAGGAGGTGGACATCAGACGGGATCACACTGCAGGAGGTGGACATCAGAAGGGATCACACTGCAGGAGGTGGACATCAGAAGTGATCACACTGTAGGAGGTGGACATCAGACGGGATCACACTGCAGGAGGTGGACATCAGACGGGATCACACTGCAGGAGGTGGACATCAGACGGGATCACACTGCAAGAGGTTGACATCAGACGGGATCACACTGCTAAGAAGTGGACATCAGACAGGATCACACTGCAGGAGTTGGACATCAGACAGGATCACACTGCAGGAGGTGGACATCAGACGGGATCACACTGCAGGAAATTGACATCAGACGGGATCACACTGCAGGAGGTGGACATCAGACGGGATCACACTGCAGGAAATTGACATCAGACGGGATCACACTGCAGGAGGTGGACATCAGACGGGATCACACTGCAGGAGGTGGACATCAGACGGGATCACACTGCAGGAGGTGGACATCAGACGGGATCACACTGCAGGAGGTGGACATCAGACGGGATCACACTGCAGGAGGTGGACATCAGACGGGATCACACTGCAGGAGGTGGACATCAGACGGGATCACACTGCAGGAGGTGGACATCAGACGGGATCACACTGCAGGAGGTGGACATCAGAAGGGATCACACTGCAGGAGGTGGACATCAGACGGGATCACACTGCAGGAGGTGGACATCAGACGGGATCACACTGCAGGAGGTGGACATCAGACGGGATCACACTGCAGGAGGTGGACATCAGACGGGATCACACTGCAGGAGGTGGACATCAGACGGGATCACACTGCAGGAGGTGGACATCAGACGGGATCACACTGCAGGAGGTGGACATCAGAAGGGATCACACTGCAGGAGGTGGACATCAGACGGGATCACACTGCAGGAGGTGGACATCAGACGGGATCACACTGCAAGAGATTGACATCAGACGGGATCACACTGCTAAGAAGTGGACATCAGACGGGATCACACTGCAGGAGTTGGACATCAGACGGGATCACACTGCAGGATGTGGACATCAGACGGGATCACACTGCAGGAAATTGACATCAGACGGGATCACACTGCAGGAGGTGGACATCAGACGGGATCACACTGCAGGAGGTGGACATCAGAAGTGATCACACTGTAGGAGGTGGACATCAGACGGGATCACACTGCAGGAGGTGGACATCAGACGGGATCACACTGCAGGAGGTGGACATCAGACGGGATCACACTGCAGGAGGTGGACATCAGACGGGATCACACTGCAGGAGGTGGACATCAGACGGGATCACACTGCAGGAGGTGGACATCAGACGGGATCACACTGCAGGAGGTGGACATCAGACGGGATCACACTGCAGGAGGTGGACATCAGACGGGATCACACTGCAGGAGGTGGACATCAGACGGGATCACACTGCAGGAGGTGGACATCAGACGGGATCACACTCCAGGAGGTGGACATCAGACGGGATCACACTGCAGGAAGTGGACATCAGACCGGATCACACTGCAGGAGGTGGACATCAGACGGGATCACACTGCAGGTGGTGGACATCAGACGGGATCACACTGCAGGAGGTGGACATCAGACGGGATCAGACTGCGGGAAGTGGACATCAGACGGGATCACACTGCTGGAGGTGGACATCAGACGAGATCACACTGCAGGAGGTGGACATCAGACGGGATCACACTGCAGGAGGTGGACATCAGACGGGATCACACTGCAGGAGGTGGACATCAGACGGGATCACACTGCAGGAGGTGGACATCAGACGGGATCACACTGCAGGAGGTGGACATCAGACGGGATCACACTGCAGGAGGTGGACATCAGACGGGATCACACTGCAGGAGGTGGACATCAGACGGGATCACACTGCAGGAGGTGGACATCAGACGGGATCACACTGCAGGAGGTGGACATCAGAAGGGATCACACTGCAGGAGGTGGACATCAGACGGGATCACACTGCAGGAGGTGGACATCAGACGGGATCACACTGCAGGAGGTGGACATCAGAAGTGATCACACTGCAGGAGGTGGACATCAGACGGGATCACACTGCAGGAGGTGGACATCAGACGGGATCACACTGCAGGAGGTGGACATCAGACGGGATCACACTGCAGGAGGTGGACATCAGACGGGATCACACTGCAGGAGGTGGACATCAGACGGGATCACACTGCAGGAGGTGGACATCAGACGGAATCACACTGCAGGAGGTGGACATCAGACGGGATCACACTGCAGGAGGTGGACATCAGACGGGATCACACTGCAGGAGGTGGACATCAGACGGGATCACACTGCAGGAGGTGGACATCAGACGGGATCACACTGCAGGAGGTGGACATCAGACGGGATCACACTGCAGGAGGTGGACATCAGACGGGATCACACTGCAGGAGGTGGACATCAGACGGGATCACACTGCAAGAGGTTGACATCAGACGGGATCACACTGCTAAGAAGTGGACATCAGACGGGATCACACTGCAGGAGTTGGACATCAGATGGGATCACACTGCAGGAGGTGGACATCAGACGGGATCACACTGCAGGAAATTGACATCAGACGGGATCACACTGCAGGAGGTGGACATCAGACGGGATCACACTGCAGGAGGTGGACATCAGAAGTGATCACACTGTAGGAGGTGGACATCAGACGGGATCACACTGCAGGAGGTGGACATCAGACGGGATCACACTGCAGGAGGTGGACATCAGACGGGATCACACTGCAGGAGGTGGACATCAGACGGGATCACACTGCAGGAGGTGGACATCAGACGGGATCACACTGCAGGAGGTGGACATCAGACGGGATCACACTGCAAGAGGTTGACATCAGACGGGATCACACTGCTAAGAAGTGGACATCAGACGGGATCACACTGCAGGAGTTGGACATCAGACGGGATCACACTGCAGGAGGTGGACATCAGACGGGATCACACTGCAGGAAATTGACATCAGACGGGATCACACTGCAGGAGGTGGACATCAGACGGGATCACACTGCAGGAGGTGGACATCAGACGGGATCACACTGCAGGAGGTGGACATCAGACGGGATCACACTGCAGGAGGTGGACATCAGACGGGATCACACTGCAGGAGGTGGACATCAGACGGGATCACACTGCAGGAAGTTGACATCAGACGGGATCACACTGCAGGAAGTGGACATCAGACGGGATCACACTGCAGGAGTTGGACATCAGACGGGATCACACTGCAGGAGGTGGACATCAGACGGGATCACACTGCAGGAGGTTGACATCAGACGGGATCACACTGCAGGAAATTGACATCAGACGGGATCACACTGCAGGAGGTGGACATCAGACGGGATGACACTGCAGGAGGTGGACATCAGACGGGATCACACTGCAGGAGATGGACATCAGACGGGATCGCACTGCAGGAGGTGGACATCAGACGGGATCAGACTGCGGGAAGTGGACATCAGACGGGATCACACTGCTGGAGGTGGACATCAGACGAGATCACACTGCAGGAGGTGGACATCAGACGGGATCACACTGCAGGAGGTGGACATCAGACGGGATCACACTGCAGGAGGTGGACATCAGACGGGATCACACTGCAGGAGGTGGACATCAGACGGGATCACACTGCAGGAGGTGGACATCAGACGGGATCACACTGCAGGAGGTGGACATCAGACGGGATCACACTGCAGGAGGTGGACATCAGACGGGATCACACTGCAGGAGGTGGACATCAGACGGGATCACACTGCAGGAGGTGGACATCAGAAGGGATCACACTGCAGGAGGTGGACATCAGACGGGATCACACTGCAGGAGGTGGACATCAGACGGGATCACACTGCAGGAGGTGGACATCAGAAGTGATCACACTGCAGGAGGTGGACATCAGACGGGATCACACTGCAGGAGGTGGACATCAGACGGGATCACACTGCAGGAGGTGGACATCAGACGGGATCACACTGCAGGAGGTGGACATCAGACGGGATCACACTGCAGGAGGTGGACATCAGACGGGATCACACTGCAGGAGGTGGACATCAGACGGAATCACACTGCAGGAGGTGGACATCAGACGGGATCACACTGCAGGAGGTGGACATCAGACGGGATCACACTGCAGGAGGTGGACATCAGACGGGATCACACTGCAGGAGGTGGACATCAGACGGGATCACACTGCAGGAGGTGGACATCAGAAGGGATCACACTGCAGGAGGTGGACATCAGACGGGATCACACTGCAGGAGGTGGACATCAGACGGGATCACACTGCAAGAGGTTGACATCAGACGGGATCACACTGCTAAGAAGTGGACATCAGACGGGATCACACTGCAGGAGTTGGACATCAGATGGGATCACACTGCAGGAGGTGGACATCAGACGGGATCACACTGCAGGAAATTGACATCAGACGGGATCACACTGCAGGAGGTGGACATCAGACGGGATCACACTGCAGGAGGTGGACATCAGAAGTGATCACACTGTAGGAGGTGGACATCAGACGGGATCACACTGCAGGAGGTGGACATCAGACGGGATCACACTGCAGGAGGTGGACATCAGACGGGATCACACTGCAGGAGGTGGACATCAGACGGGATCACACTGCAGGAGGTGGACATCAGACGGGATCACACTGCAGGAGGTGGACATCAGACGGGATCACACTGCAAGAGGTTGACATCAGATGGGATCACACTGCTAAGAAGTGGACATCAGACGGGATCACACTGCAGGAGTTGGACATCAGACGGGATCACACTGCAGGAGGTG